AGGAGTACATTATCAGACAACTTATCAACTGCTTTTGACACATCAAAGTATAGAACAGTGACGATTTTAAGTGCCTCACGGTTACTAGTAGTGAAGTTGGAGGAATCAGAGTTGTAAGTAACATGCTGAGACTTTGTGATTAGGTATTCTGTTAATAAGTAATCAGAGACGCTGTTCTTCATTACTTTTTCCACAATTCTGGAGAGGACTGGTGTTATGTTGATAGGTCTGTACTTATTAGCCTTTGATTTGTCTCCGGACTTATAGAGAGGCATTACGTAGCAAGTTTTCCATTCAGTGGGGTATACGCCACTTTCCGTTGATAGGGTGAATATCTCAAGCAGGAACAGATACATATCGTCAACGCTGTTTCTGATGACTATTGAGTTTAGGTTATGTATTCCAGTATCCTTGATAGTCGCAAGTTCATGATAGCCTCTGTGATACTTTTGACAGTAAAATTCACATTGACGCATGAAGCTGTAGTGAGCAGCATAAAAGTGGTAGGGTTAAGTGCGCTAGGACTGAATTTTGCGAAGGATTCGCTAAATAATTCAAAAATTTCGAGGGTATCGTTGCAGACCATCCCGTTGTGTAATAAATAAGCTATGTCTCTCGATGCCTGCCAACGTTTATTCAGAAGGGGGGTCATGTCGTATATCCTAGAACCATTTTTGAGGGCATTTAGCTCCTCGTTTATCGAGTCTCGTGCACATAAAGTCTTAACTGCTTTGTAAGTATCGTAGATTGAGTTCACTACCGGAAAGTCTTTGGAGGTATGATATAGTTTCCGTAATTTGTTCCGAAGTATTCAATGGATGTATTGGTCCTTTTCCTTCTTCATCTTAGCCGCTCTCATAGGAGCAACGATATCTAAACATAGCATTATATTTCTTTGGAAAAACGAGAGTGACTCCGTTGATGAGACTGTTATGAAGTACTCATCCCATGGGCTGCACCAGTCAACAGCCCCTGGTGTTAACACAATCTCAGATAGTTACCCGATCCCCCACACAAACGACTTGACCACATTTTGAAAGGCTCATTTGTCTTCAGTAAACTTGACTTGACGTGCGCCTACCATCAGATTCCAGTTCATCCCGATGTCTCGAGAACAGGAGTCATTAGACTTTTCGCTTTCTTCGACTTTCTTCTCATACCCTTTAGTCTCTACAACGCTGCGCAAACTTTCGAACGCTTCATTCACGATGTCTATTGTGGACTAGTTTTTGCCTATCCGGACGATATCCTGATAGCTAGTCCAGACAAAAACACTCATCGCAGCCACTTACAGCAGGTTTTAGCCAAACTATCGGAACGTCTGATGACGGTCAATCTGGAGTTTGTTCAATGGAATTTTTTAGACATGTAATCGATGAGCATCTCATTCACCCCTTAGCTGAAAAGGTACAGGTGATTAGAGACTTCTCAGTGGCAACTCCCCTCAAATCTCTGCCAACATTTCTTGGTATGATAAGCTATTGCCGTGATTTCGTTTCTCAGTGTGTGCAAATGTTGACTGTGCTGACCGACCAGATGAAAGTAAGCGTGAAACATTCAGGGTGACTCCTGAGACATCGGAAGTTTTTGCAAGGTCAAAAACGCAATAGCAGACGCCTCGATGTTGGTCCCCCCAGGATATAAACCTTCTTCCTAGCATTGCTGTTGATGCCTCCAACACGGCTATTGAAGGTGTGTTGCAACATCTTCGGGCTACAACTGAATTCCACTTTCGTTCTTTTCCCAGAAGCTATTCTCCTGAGAAATGCGGTACATCACTTTTACTCGGGAATTGCCCGCCATCAATGCCTTCTTTAAGCACCCTCGTCACTTTGTGAAGGGTCTTGTTTTCATCATATTGACCGATCACAAACCTATGACTTACGCTTTACGCACCACCACCGATTGATAGTCAGCACGTGAATTATGGCATCTAGACTATATTTCACAGTTCACGCAAGACATCCATCACATTCCTGGTATGAACATACCTATGGCAGAAGCATCATCTCGTATTTTCACCACTACTTTACCCCAGGTGGCTGACTTCCAGAAGATTGCCGAACTTCAGAGTTAAGATAAGAAGATGGAGAAACTTCAACACGCAATCTCTGTAAGAATACAGAGTATGCATGGGGCAGTTTTCGAAGACGTTCACGACCTTTCTTACTCCGGTATTCGTGCTACAGACAGGTTAATCTCAACTAGGTTTATCTGGCCTGGAGTTGGTCGTGATGAGGGAGATTGGACGCGTGTTTGTATGCAATGCCATCATTTTATTCACGTTCATCCGGACATCACCAGTCCACTTCCGTCCTCAGATAGCAACTCGTATCTTCTCACATGCATAGATCATTTCACTCACTGGGCAGAAGCCATTTCAATGCCCAACACCATTGCAGAAACGGTTGGTCTAGTCTTCATGGAGAGATAGGTGGCACAGTTTGGATGCCCTTCCTAAAAGGTATACAGATTTTCTTTGTTGGCCTCAGTGGGATTTTTACATTGTTGGTATGTTTGATGTAGCAAATATTTTATCGTTGTGCACACTGACACCTTATTTTTGTATATAAAGTCTTTATTTGAAAGTTTCGTTCAGCACCAAAACGAAAACTAGAAAGTCAAACAAATACGATGAAAAAACTCGTAGATATCAAAGCAAGGAGGCTTTTCGATTGTTCGTTACTTTTTTTTCTGTATTTGACACGTGTTTGCTTACTTTCCTCTAACCATGCTGGTGTCCTTCATCTCTGATTGCAGAATATCAGAAACGCGTTGAAAATTGGATAGAATTGATCTGTGACAACGCTACTGGGATCTTTCTGTGGCTTGTTTTGTTCCAATTCCCCCTCGTACACTCTCCTACAGATTAAGGATCATCAGTAGGGAAGGGTAGACAGAGGCTTTGGGTCATTTACCATCACTGCAATAAGAGTTGCGTCTTGACGTGAAATCTTCCTACCTCGTAGGCATGCATAGTTCAACTAACTTTGACGACCCAGTCGTCACTGACTCCACACGCGATATGGAAAGGTGTTGCGTGTCTGCCTCGCAGTTGCCCTCTAGGATCGAAGGTTGCCGGTGTGCAGACGACCTTCTGGGAGGAGGATAACATGTAGTGTACCTTCCTGGTGTCAAAATGCGACCAGTGCTATAATAAATAGAATAAACTAAGTAAACTTCTTGCCTGCCCTCAGATGCTTAAGGTGTTTTAAGTTTTGTTTTAACGAGCAGGTCTCGAGGCCAACATTCCAAAAGCAACTGAACAATCGAGAGTTGATTGATATAATCTCCTTCACGTCTTTGAGCTACATAAAGTTTGTTGTTTGTAAGCTAAATTCCTATGATCTTGAACACAATGTTACTCAGACTAGTTCAACAGTAGTTTTCACACAAAAACTTGTCCACTTTCATACAGACTCGGTTTATTTACGATTTAAGCTAGTTTGATGGGTTTAGATTCTGTGAAAATACCAAAGATCTTAAGGTTGGCACTAATCGCTTCTGATATAACCTTTTGTGTAAACTAGTGCTATTGTCTTGTAGTTATTGTCCTTACTTCTGTTGTTGACATCTGTTTCATCCTCTTGATTATGTTTTTCATGAATTGTTCTGGATAGGAATTCCCATAGCAACTTCTTGAATAAAACATTTATCGTCTTTCGCTAGTCATCAGGTAGTGCATGTGGTCAATCTACGTATTTTACTTCGCAGGATTATGTATTCAGCATGTATTAACCAACTCGAACTCTGGTCGTCGGAAAATGGCTTGAGCTTCAACCTGGAAAGGTGAAAAGTAATGCACATCAGTAAATATGAAGCAAGTACGACCGACCTCGAGTACATGTTTAGCATCCATGCTATCAGTACAGTGTCCTACGAAGGAGCAGTTGGGGCTTAACTTCTCTGGCACTCTGAATACCAGCTCCAACTACAAAGGTATGACAACCAAAGTGAACTCCATTATGCACTTCTTGCGTGGACAGCTTGGCGCCCTTACCCCTGAACTCTTCCCACCGTTTTCAGATCATACATGCGGCCGCAGCTCGAGGTCTTCAATATGGTGGCCGGTCCCCAACACTCAAGAGGGACTCCAATCCCCTTGAAAAAACACGAAGACCTGCAAAAAATCAGTTGTGGGGCTAAGGGGAAAGGCATATCTTAAAAGACCTAAACACCTCAACCTATTCACCTTGGGTTATCATTGGAAGAGGGACGACCTTATTATGGCCTACAAGATCGTCCGCTGGGCAAGCCACGCAGACAAGTCATATCCCCCTTAGTGACTCATTCAAGAGACGGTTAGGCAGTTTTGTCCCCTCTCATGGTCTACCATGGTTGAACTCAGGGGGCCAGTATCCTCACTGACAAGTCCTCACCTTCCTTCTGCCTACTATTCACTACCTCACCTCCTAATACATTCACATTACCTACTAGTTCTTTTCCAGGAAACGGACCCACGCTACCTATTTTAACCTCAAGGGCGATTCCCACATGCTACTCTCCCCGTTTTATTTCTCTTCTTCTCCCTATACTTTTTCTCTTCCTTTCACTCTCTTTTCCCTTTTCCTTTATTATTTTCACTCTTTACCACTACCTCACTACCATTTTTCAGGCACCTACACAGACATGAGTCACGACAGTCCCCTAACCGTCCCAGAAAGACGTAGCTCCCCAGCCACTCTGCGAATTACAACTTACTAACCAACAAAACATCCACCTCACCGAAACTGAAAGCGGGAAAGCAGAGGGGATTTCCTCGTCTGCTACAGGAGTGAACCGAACAACTCGAACGAACCCCTAAGGACTAGACACGAGAGGTCGAAATGTATCAGTTTTCTACGCTTGCACTATCAACAATGGATACTAGACTTCTGAGATTACCAAAGGAGCATAACTCAACAAAAAGCATTCGCACCTGATAGCAAGACCTCAAAAATTACAAGTTTCTTACATTTGGCGTTGGAAATAACCTTGACCTTAAGGTTGATATTGGAGCTGTTTTCAGATGCCGATTTATGGGTTGGCTATAGTCGTCATCGTAGCATTATTTTGGTGCGGTTCGGAGTTCACCTTTTGTCTACGCAATGTGAGCAAAACCGCCCTCAAGTACTTTCAGTTCCACTTGACTAAAATGTTGTTAACGTTTTAGAGCTCAAGTGAAGGAGATGTTCCTTCATGCTTATTACAGTTACAAGGTATTTTGTCTTATTGTATAATCAGTTTGCATAAGAATAATGCATTTCCTGCCGACGAACTTATGCCGCTCAGTTGTAGAGGCCGATACCGGTGGGAAGGGATAAACAGAGGTGATATAGATGACGCTCTAGGCAATTTTTCACTTACAATGCTTGATGGCCTTGACAGTTTGTTTGTAAGTTCATATTATATCTCATAGAAGTTTCTAGTTAGTCGGAGAGCTGGACGAATTTGATAGTGCTGTAAAGTCTGTGGTGGAAACTGTGAGGTTTGACGCAGATGTAGATGTTTCAGTTTTCGAAACTAACATTCGTGTTCTTGGGTATGTATCTAAATTTTATCGTCTGCGTTTTGTTAATGCTTTTAATCACTGAAGTACGACGTGGGAATGTTTTTCTAGATGGCAATGGGAATTAAGCTCATTTTTCAGCGCATTCAACTAAAAATCTTTAGTTCACAGACAACTTGTCCTAGCGTCAATATTTGATTCATATTGGTTACTTAAGGATCGAAGGCTTAGAACCTGTATCAATACCTCCCCAGTAGATCTCTGTGCCTGTCCATTCCTTTTTTGAATGAGTCAGTTGGTGACGCGAACAATTCTGGGAGTCGGTTCCAGTAGTTGATCACTCGACATGACAACCAGAACTCTTGTTTCACTCAACTTTCAAACATTTAGGCACCTACTTATTACTGCATCCGCTTTGATCCTACTCTCAGTGTAACTTTCTAACCTCTTAAGGTGAGATATCTCAAAACCTTTGTTAAAGCTTGCAAATACTGCCCTGGCAGACACATCGAAATATCTATTACTGGAAGTGGGTTATCCTCACTAAAGTCGTTAGTTTAAAAACGGTTATCCTTTACTGTAAACCACCTCATTGCATATTTTGAAGAACTACTCTGTAGGCATTCCATATTAGTCAGTCACACAAACTGTAACATAGCCAAAAATGACTGATATTCTGTATTCAAGGAAGATTTAGGGTTCTATTTTCTCAAACCATTTTATCGACTAACACTGATTTAAATAATTGTTTTGTAAACTATATACCAGTATTTTGTTGTTTTTTTATACACTTATCTATAAAGTTCATTTAGAAAAAGAAAAAAATTACTGTGACAAAATATTACTTTTAACATTTTATAACCTATATATGTTATTTTAATAGGGGTATCTTTTTAATCTGCTCCATGTATTGCATCAAAAAATCCTTTGACTAATTTAGTCGTGCCAAAATTATTAATCCGGATGAAATGGCTGAGTTTTATTCGATAACGAACTTGCTGTATTGTTAAAAATGAAAGCTAGGGAGGAAAAATGTCTTGGTCTTCAACTGCTCACTAGCTTGACATAACTTGTAGTGAAAGTTGTATCATTGTCTAGGGAAACTAACACTCGCTTGGTTACGTGAACGTAATTGTCTGGGAACTATTGATAGCAGTTTTGCTAAAGTAAAAGGTTATACCGCTTACTCAATGAGAATCTTCATTTAAAACTAGTGTACTTTTTGGCTACCGTAGTTGTTTTTGGTTTCAGTCCTAAACGATAGCTGGTACTTTGGTGTGGCGGTTGGGCTTGCATATCATTGTAGTATAAATTACTTACACTATAATGGGGGTGTGAGAGCGAAGTCGTACTGTTGGCTGGATGCCGTGTGATGGCAGTAAGATGCTCCCTGCAGATGATCACCTGTAACATGCTGATGCAGTTTTCTCTTTGGAAAGGGGTGGGGGTTAAAAAAGGTTGATCCTAAAGTGGCTGCATGTGACACCAACAGATTTCTCATGCGCTCAAAGAAATCTTTTTTTCTTTCAGATACTCTGGAAAATCAGCTTCCACAGTGTTGGTAGCTGTTAATTGTTAACCGTCCACACACTTCCAGTGGTATACAACGTCCAATCAAACATAACTTATGCTCCTTACCCACATCTCTTGCATCTCCACTTCATGATATCAATAATAAGACTCCAACTACTTCCTCAACCTCTTACTCCGCGGCTGTTACCAACGACCAAAGTTGTTGCAACCTCGCTCCTAGTCTCCTAGATCCCCGCTGTCGGTTTCGGATTGGATTCTTCAACGTCTGAACCCTATGCTAAATCGGACAGCAGGTATCGCTCACCAGAACCCTGTGGTCTCGAGCCATGGGTGTATTTTGTGTCTAAGTATGCAGGACACGAGCGTGCATATTAACTTGATCTCACCTGACCATTGTGTTGAATCTTGAACCATCTTACGATTGTTCGGAGACCCAGTGACTAGCTCTTGTGGACTTGCTAGTATAGGCACAGCATTGAACTGTGGGGATCGTGCGACCAACCGATGCTTATTCTTAATCTCCATCAACACATGCATCGATAGGGGTTCTGATTATGCAAAAGATGAATTCTATCAGAAGCTGTCAAATTTTTTAACAGAAAGCGAAACGCTCAGATTTAGTTGTATTGGGGGAGGATCGGGGGGGGGTTAATTTCAATGTCCAAGTAGAAAGGCTGAGTCGATCGGAAATGCATGTTGGAAATATCTACGAAATCCTGTGTTACGGACCAACAACGGTGATGGTCTGTTGCAATTTGTTTTGAAAATCACTTGTTTCTGGTCAGGACTAACTATAAGCATGAGGGGAGAAACTGTCTCATATAGCGTCCGCTGACTTCGAGCCAACGATGGACACAGATAGATCATGTTGCTGTCAGCCGTCATTGGAGAGGACCGGTAGGGGACTTCAGCTCTTTATGGAGTAGTCGTTTGGACTCCGATCCCGTATTAGTGCTGTCTCGTGTACGTTCGTGCCTTGCTGGATGAAGGAGACGGGGCAGCGAAGTCTAGACATGTGTGGTTGGGAAATGAGGAATTCAGGTACGTATTTACGGAGGAGTCAGCTAAGCATTCATCTGAACGTGACGGCAATCCTCATCCTGAGGAAACCTGGTGTGATGAGACAGCTGTTAAGACATTTGGCAACCTACTTTCCTGGGTTAGAAAACGTTATTGGGTGACCGCAGCGTCATTTGAACTGATCGATGCGAGAAAACATTCTAATCGACGCTAACCATGATGAAGAGGGAAAGCAACTGCAACGTCAGTTAATTAGGGCTTTCCGCAATTGTCGCAAATAGTGGTGGTTGATGACAGCTATAGAGATGGAGAAGGCATCAGCTTTAAGTAACATCCGGCAACTGTTTAGGCTTATTAGAGATGCCGAGAAGAAGAAGACGGTGGTTAGTGAAACTATCAAAAACGATTGGACTCTGGTAACCTTCCAGGACAGACGGCTATAATGTTGGGTAAAACACCTCGGAGCACACTTGAAATGACCCTCAGCAACACTTTAGTTGCCCAGCATTCACTCTGAATATCTATGGATGTAAATGTCTGTCCTCTAAATCTTCTCAAGGTTGAGAAAGGTTCATCGAACCTGAAACTATGAAAAGCAATAGGACCTGACGGTTTGCCACCCGACGTCTTCATGGATGAAAGTAGGAAATTGCTAATTAAAGTGACAATGGAACTAGGTAGTATATGGGAATCAGAGGTAATGCTAACTGACTAGTCTACCTCACTGATCCTTTCAGTGTATAAGAAGGGAGAGTAGTTTTCTTGTGACAACCATAGAGAAATCTGTCCAAATAAGTATCCAAGATCCTTCAGTCCATAGAAATCGGACAGCTAATTGAAATTTGAGAGAACCAGGGAGGTTTTAGACAGAGATAGACGAGGGTGCTTGTATCATATTTTCATCCTCCGATTGGTCCTGGAACACAGGCATACTTAGGGACAGCCGACAATCGCTATATTTTTTGACCTGAAGGCAACACTTGACTCTGTCAACCGTGAAGTGTTGTGCCAGTGTCTGACTGTGAAACGAACTTCGAGCAAGTTTTCAGTGCTGATCAAAGCTCTCTACTTGAATTCATGCAGCTGTGAACCGGCTTATGGAGAGTAGTTATCAGAGTTGGTGACAGCTAGTGTTGTCCGGCAGGGATGCTCGCTGTCATCATTACTTTTCAACTTCGTTGTAGATGTATTAATGGACACAGCGTCAGATAAGTCTGACTTCACGGGGATTGGTCTACTTCTTGAAGAGCGTCTGGTTGATTTGTTTTCTGCAGACAATATTGTCCTAATAGACGAAGACGCTGAAAAATATAGTCTTCTGAACACGAGCAGAAATCTGAGTATGTTTGGCATGCTTATCCCACCTGTCAGATGTAAGATGATACTCTATGACTGGTCTACAGCTACTTCCAGTTTAAGAATTTTGAGTGATATGGTAGGAAGTGTTGACCATTTCACTTGTGGGATTACATCATTCCGGACGGGCTGGTTTCTGAATGAATCTAAGCCTGTATACAAAAGGCCTGTTTAGCATTTGCCAACTTGCATCATTTTTGGCGTTGACTAGCGAGAAATCCAACTACCTCTCAGAGTACGAGTATACAGTGTTTCGGTTCAGTTTTGAAACATGTCCATTAAAAGTAGAATATATGAAATGGTTACAGAGATTTGATCACAGGGATCTTCGTACCATTGCTTGCGTTTGATGGAATCATGGTGTGAGCACTGTTGAGGTCAGGTGAGGTTACTGGTTAAGACAGGCAAGTTTACTGATGAAGTTGTGAACCTTCATCGACTGAGATGGCTTGGACATGTACCGCTCATATTGATCCATCGTCTACCTACCTACAATGCTAGAGGAAGTTAGTAGGAAGTAATCCCAGGGTGGTCGGACCAGTCTAAATGTTGGTGTGATTCGTGTGGGGAGGTATAAACTATATGACTTGTGTCCTCAAGATGATAGGAATCAGTACAGGACTCTTAGTGTCATGGCTGAACATCAGTCACAATGGAGCAGATGTATTCACTCTTAAACACCTAAATTTTGAATATCCTCGCTAACTTTTATCTTCAAATTGTTTATTTTTTCACAGAACTTTGTTGACTTTTAGTATCAGTCTTTTTCTATCTACGTGTTCTTTGTATACTGCAGTGAAGTGTGCTAACTTCAACCGGTACTTTTGTTTGCCAGATTTCATGTTCCATTTTGTCTGCTTCCTAGTTTTATTCATTAAAATTCAATTTAAAAGCGTAGAAAATGCACTCGATCCTTTTTAATTGTATTAGGTTCATTTACTCATCATATTCGGTCTAAGCATAGTGGCTTGTTTCTTTGGAAACAAGTTGCATACCACACCAATCGTCCATATCATTTTCAGGGCTCTAACTTAGGTTCCAAAGTGCTATACAAGAGGTTGAAATCTCTAAAAATTATCTATTACCTTTAAATCAAGTCATACAGTTGTTTAGCATCAGAAATCTTAGTATGCTTAGCATCCGTTTTGCAGGTTTTAAAAGCAAAATGATACTTCAGGACTGGTACACGCCTTCTCCCAGTTTAATGATAGAAAATGAAATGAAGGAAAGCGTCGGGTACTTTATTTACTTCGAAAGTTGCATCAACCTGGACGGAATGTTTGCTAACTCAGTCCTAGCACGATTACAGAAGCCGTAATTGGGATTTACCAAGTTGCATCCTCTCTAGCACTAGCAAGATATCTGACTTCTTTTTAAAAGACGAGTATACTGCACTGCAGTTCGCTCAGTCCTGTTGTATGACTATGAGATATGACCGTTACAGGTAGATATGAATAGATTACAGGTTTTCAAACACACGTGTCTTCTCATCATGACTGATATACTATGAAGTCACTGTATGGCCAGTGTTGAGGCTAGGTGAAGGGCATTAGACAAGTCACTATATCAGGCTGTGAACCTTTACTCATTGAACTGGCTAGGACATACGTTGTATGTGCCTACCTCAGGATGTCATACTTACCAAGGTAGAATTGGGTTGGGATAAAGCTAAATGTGGCCAAACGAAGACATATTTAACCAGTCTATGAAGCCTCTGACTTAATCCAAGGATTGTAGAGAGGTGTAGAATTCATAATAGGTTGGAATTTTGTAGGTTAGAAAATCTTGGTGATTTGACTAGAAATCGGTTACAGTAGAGCAAAAATATTCATTATTTGATATCGTTTAAAGCCTAAGCATTTTCACTAACCTGGAATTTTGAATTTCCGCCATCCGTAAACCTTTGTCTACTTTGATATCAGTATTTTTCTATCCACTTGTTCTTTGTATGTTACAGTGAAGTGTATCTACTTGAACCCTTGCATTTTTTGCTAGGTTCTACTTTTTTTGGTTTTGTCTGTTCGTCTGTTATATAACATGTTGCTAATCAAAACCCAATGGTAGTCAAATTGGTCCCCATACCGGATAATAATTTACGTTTACTGTAGCATAACTCAGTATTCAGATCGATATTGTATAATTCACTCGTATTATTTGATTACAATCGGCATAACCCGGCATACTACACCTCTTAGGAATACTTCCTTTATTAGGTATCATGCACTGTTTAGCAGGAAGTCCTGATTGACTTAAGTGTCATGCTTGTTAGAACTTATCAACGAAACGTGTCTGTAGCCATTAGTGAATGACTATCATGTGAGCCTATCTCTCTATTCACTCACATCGGAGGTTGGATGTTTGATGTGGGAGCTGAGAGTACCACTTGACCGGCGAAACTTTCATATATAAAGCTGTTACACTTTGGTGTAAAGCGAGAAGCATAGTTTGATGAATGTAACTGTGTTTGAATTCCAACCACTGGGTAGTTATCGGTTGGAACTCCACTCAATCCACCAAGATCGTGGCAGTTAGATAGTATAACTACCTCCCCCCCCCACACACACAATAGGTGTGACTTATTGTTTACTACACCAGTGTACATATTGTTGCTGTGTATTTTTCGTTAGTTTAGTGAACCATAACATCTTCCTTTCATTTAGTTAAGCAGCCGAACAGTAATATTACCCAAATGTTGTTGCTTTCATTCTTATACTTTCATATCCTTCATATCTCTTCTTGATTTTATTTTATATTTATTATATAAGAGGTTTATTGGGTGCTCACATTGCTGCTGTTTCAATTAAGGCAAATAGTAATTCTCGAATGATTTGGTATAATGATGATTTATTGAAAATGGCCATAGATATTGGCAATCGATTGTTACCGGCTTTTGATACACCAACTGGAATTCCTTATCCTAGAATCAATCTACGATATGGATCAGCTGGTTTAAAAAAACATGAGGTTAGTGATGTTTGTAAAACTTTCCACTTTTTATTTCTTTTTTAAGCTAATCGGAATGAAAAAAAAAATTTCTCAGTATATCAACGCAGCAAAAAAAAACTGATTGACTGCTTTGTAGAAAATATGAAATTCATACAGCCAGACAGACCATCAAGTTATTATTGACTCAAAAATGGGAAACAGAGGAATGATAATATAAGGATTAGGTAGACTATTTAGTGACAACTATGACTAAGGAGTTTACACTTGGGACTATCGCCTATTCGTTTAGAGAGTTGATATTCAACCAATGGGTCACACTTTCTAACACCTTTTCATCTACAATGTTTTGGTCACTCAGTTGGTCGTATCATTAACTAGGATGGATTGCTCATTTCATTAACCCATGCATAGATAGATCAATCAATGAACATGGGAAAGATGCCTCACTTCATAACAGAACACAAAGTGTTTGAGAAGAGAAGTATAATGATATGAAAGATAAAGGAGTATAGATGGTGGTCGATTTTTGTTTATTTCACCTATATTTGTCAACTATTGATTTGTAACATCTCAACGACTCTAGGCAGTTATCCTGAGTTTCATTACACGAAACTCAAGTGTTTGACCACCGTTGCCTTCGTAATATAGGACTTATTCCGTGGTGTCACCATACCACGTGAGTAATGCAGAAGTCAGGTGTAGAGTTTTGGGGAGAAGAGGTAAGTCAGTCGACGAGGTTGTGAGATGGTTGGGACACGTACCACGTATGCCTAGTCACCGATTACCTCGTCACACAATGTTGGCTGAGGTGGATCCAGACTGGAAAAAGGCTCGAGGTGGCCAAACTAAAACATGGCACCAATGTATGAAGTCTCTGACTGTTGGTTTAAGCCATGTAGGACGATGCAGAGTAGGTGGTTGGGGTTGGCGGGACAAGAGGAACCAGTGGTTGGAGACTGACTGTAGGTGATATGGTTGAGAACCGATGTGAGTGGCTCAGATGTATCTCCACACACATTATCGTCATCTTAACGACGGTATACCAAGTCTCACCATTTTGTCATCCCTCCTTTCTTTCTTCTCATACTTCATATTTCTTTTGACTGCATTCCCTTATCTTCATCTTTCACCTCACTACCTTTTTACTTGATGTGCTGATATGAGGTGTGGCAACTCGGACCGTTACGCAGTAATGCCTGATCCTATGTTGATAATGATGATGATGATGATGATGTTTCATTACACGACTCACCAACATTCAGAGCTGTTTTAAGCTAATGTCATTTGTTCATCTGGTGACGCTTGACTTTTTCCTGTCCTAGTCTTCTACTACAGCTGCAAACAATCTTATAGAGAACCAGATAGTTTTCTAAGCTTTTTCTCATATTCCTTGACTTATGTCCTAAAAAAGTGGCATATTATGTAAATCTACGATTAGTTATTTTAACTTCATACACCTCCCTGGTCTACTCTGTTAGTTGAGACTTTGTCAGATAAGAATTCTACACGTATTCATTATGCTCTAATGAGCTATAAGAAAAAGGCTATAAAATTGAACAGTTAAGCTAGCTGTTTACACCATGACAAATATACTTGCTTTTATGATTACCCCAATCAGTTGTTGATTTATATATCTGTGTATACGGTTATGTGGTCTTCTAAAGAGGAAGGGTCATGCAACTGAAATATCTCAGAAACAGTATGGCGTACAAGGGCAGGTTTGCAGATGGTTTACTTTAATGAGTTAATTGCTGACAATGATAAACTCATCCCTATCATTTATTTATTTTTCACTTGAGAAAAGTTATTATCTGGCTCAGTGTGTTTTTCCCTGTGTTCAGATTCGAGGAGAGTGACAGGCTATCCTTAGACAGTGTTATGGTAAGTAGCCGTAAACTGTTAACGCCTTTTTTTCAACCAATCGCTTTGCTTCTAAGTTTCGGGAAACAACACATGAACCAACGTGTAAGTGTCAGGTTGGTTGAAGAGACGAAAACTGAATAAAATTTAAATCTAATAGGCCTTGAAATAGCCTAGGTCATATTAATATATGTATACTTTGTAATTTTTATATATAGTTGCTGATGTTGCCGTTGTTGTAAATACACCTGTTCTATTGCTGCCTTTTCTGTTTATGGAGAAAGTGAGTGACCATTGTAGGTGGAATCTGAAGGTATTTGCACATGTGTCCATGTTCACATAATTCTCTCTTCACGGATACAAAAGGCTCGATTGGCTTTTGCCAGTTTACGCCACCGTGATATCCGATTGTCTATTAAGGGTCGCGTGTACTGCACAGCAGTCCGGTCTGTTCTACTGTATGGCTGTAAAACATGGCCATTGAAAGTGGAGGATACAAAAAGGCTTGAGGTGTTTGACCACCGTTGCCTTCGTAGTATAGGCCACCGTATTCCGTGGTGTCACCACACCATGTGAGTAATGCTGAAGTTAGGTGTAGAGTTTTGGGGAGAAGAGGTAAATCAGTAGACGAGTTTATGAACCTTCATCGATTGAGATGGTTAGGACACGTACTACGTATGCCCAGTCACCGATTGCCTCGTCACACACAATGTTGGCCGAAGTAGGTCCAGACTGGAAAAAGGCCCGAGGTGGCCAATGTATGAAGTCTCTGACTGTTGGTTTAAGTCATGTAGGGCGACGCAGACTAGGTGGTTGGGATTGGTGGGACAAGCGAAACCAGTGGTTGGAGACTGTAGGTGATATGGCTGAGAACCGATGTCAGCGGCGCAGATGTATCCCCACACACATTATCGTCATCTTAACTACACTATACAGAATCTCACCATTTTGTCACTCCTCTTTTCCTTCTTCTCGTACTTTATATTTCTTTTGACTGCATTCACTTATCTTCATCCTTCACCTCACTACCTTTTTATTTGATGTGCTGATATGAGGTGTGGTAACTCGGACCGTTACGCAGTAATGCCTGGTCCTGTGTTGATATTGATTGATTTACATAATTCAGGCTCTATCAAGTCATTGGTAAAGATATAAAAAAGTGGAAACTGAAGCTAAATAAAAGGCAGTTAACAGCGATTCCTTGATGAGATTGTATCTAAATTTACCAGTGGACTAAAACCTACTTCAAATTCTGTGACTAGAGTCTGACGAAATTGGTGTTTAAGTCTGTTTTGTGGAATGAATGAAATATAGTTTCAACTAGTAGCCCTAGAATCCTAAACGAAATGTAATAAAACAATATTGAGTAGAATTTAGTAGATTGAAATTCTGGTGTATAGTGTACACTGAAAATCTGATGACAAGATAATGGTGTGGAAGCTCACGAAATTCGGTTATCAGGCAAGTTGAAGATTGTTTTTCAATAAAATCTCCTTTCAGGCGTTTAATTTCATTGACTTCATCAAAACAAAGCAGACTTAAAGTGGAGTTTTGGCTCATCGGTTCACAGAGATGGCTTTCCACCAATAGATCATGTGTTCTAACATCGCCCCCACCTTCCGTCACATAATAGGTGTGTGTGCGGCTTTATTGCCTGCTACTGCACAGATGTCCACAAGGTTGTTGAACGGGTGCATTTCGACTTGACTCGACTCGATTCTGTTTGTGGTGATTATTTTGAACAACTCCAAAGCATCTGCTTAATGTCCTGTGTTCACTAACTGATCATTAATTGTACCTCCTGTCAACCAAAGTTTTGAGTTTGATTGTACCAACAAGCGAGAAATTCGATATAGGGTGATACAAGATATATTCTGGTCAGTGCATTGCGTAGTCTCCTCTTTACCATTATCGCAGTATCGTCACCTTTCAGGTTGTTATGGTGAATAACATAACTGTATTGTATAATGATAAAGTGGATTTAATATTCTTCTTCTCCGATGTTTTTTTCGTGCTCTTATAAAGTTGATAAAGAGAAATCTACAAAACTGTTAACCTGACTGGAGATAATAAATTCCCCCTCAATGTACTACTGGAAGTGTGCGGGTGGTTGACACTACCCGGCTACCCACACCATGTAAGGCTATTTCTTCTTAAAGTACATAAATGACAAAGTGATCTTTGTGACCGCAGAGCCTATGGAATATCTACTGGAGACCTGTCACACAGCCTTTCGTGGGTTGCAGTTTCAAGTTGTATGTGGGTGTCTGCGCAGTCAGCTGATTGCAGTCCCCAGCTTCAAATTAAGCGATGAAAGAATGAAGGTATTTCAGTTTCGTATTCTTTAGAAAAGAAAGATAGTATTTTGATGCTAGGAAGTTGTATTCAACCAGCAGGAGACCGAAGAACTATGTTTCGTGCTTGTTAACACTCGTCAGCAATGCACCACCACCAGCGGGTAACCGATGTAGCTGTCTGTTATTCTTCATTGCAGTTTGGAGGTTTGTAGGGGTTTATTGATTTCAGGTTGGTTTCTATCATAGATTGACATTAGTTTAAGGAACATTGGAAACCTGGGAGCCCGTGGACAGTTATTTCGTCCTAGTATGGGACTCCTTAGCAGCGTGCACCCATGACTTCACCAGGGATCAAACCCAGTGCTTAGCACTGATCAAAGTCTGCCAGTCAAGTTATGCAATGTGATCACTAACGTATTGTTTTAGCAGTACATACAGCTGATATATCGTTATGCATGTTCAAACTTAAGAAATCTATTCTTCTCCGTTTTGTCCGTCGATTACACTTGAAGAGAACAGATGATGAAATCCGATTTTTAATGTTATATACAGTTTTGAGCACTGGACAGTAATCCACGCTTATTATGTGTAGGCTTGTAATATTATCCGGTCGCCCAAACCATACCAGTAGATAGAGATGGTTTCGAACACAGACTAATGAATCTCAGCCCCATAATGAAAGTTTACCACTTAATATCTAGATAATATAAATTATCAAACTGTTGAAAGTCTGCTACGATAATTTTTGAATCAGAAGTTTTCTCCACCGATTACTTTGGGGTATGGTCGATTCCAAGATGGTAGTCATCACAGACTGGCATCAGTTAGAAAATCATTTATGACGTTCTTCTTGGAGATGGATTTCACAAAGTTCTAATGACAGGCTGTGACCTGTGGAGTCAACCAATTGGAGTGAGAGGAAAAAATACTTGCCAATGACACTGGTGGATAGTGGTCGCCGATTGATAGGAAAATATAGACCATTGGGATTCTGATGAGTAACTGAATGGCAACGTGCATGTCACGAGACCCGATAGTCCTAGGTTCATTCCCTAAATAGACAGACAGATATAAACAAAATCGACGTGGAACCTCGCACTCATTGTGCACTGGTACAACTTGCCATACTTCACTGCAGTATACAAAGAATAGGTGGATAGGAAAAGAGCGATATCAAAGGAGACAAAATTATGTGAGAGAATAAGCAATCTAAAGATAAAGGCTAGTGCGAATATTCAAGCCTTAGATGTCAAGCGGTGTATGCATATGCGCTGCTGTGACCAATTTTCAGCCATGTCAGCAAGAGTCCTCAACCACTGATTGCTATCGGCTTGCGGACGCCAACCAGTCAGTTTACATTTCCCTACACAACTCAGACCAACGGTTGGGGACTTCATAAACTGGTTTCACATCTTGGTCTAATCACCCTGAACCCTCTTTCAACCTTATCCAACTTCTAGTATGACACATCTAGGTAGGTGGCAGTGGCTTGGCATGCGCAATACATGTCCAACCTATGTCATTCAACTAAGGTTCGCAACATCATCAGTCGACTTGCTTGTCTTGTTTAATACTCTTCGTTTGATCTCAACATTGCTCATATGGTTCAATATCTGTAGAAGTTATAGGTGTACACTCTCAAAAAGTCACATCAGAATGAAACATCTGCTGCCTAATCCTTCAAGGTTTCCAATGATTCTCCAATTGATGATTAGTCTACAATGAATACCCTTTTGTGGTTAATCAATCAATTTCCAAAGTAATTGATTGTCTTTGGTAAACCTGCTTTTTCTTTTTGTTTACAATTCATTCTTTGCATTATTGTTATGTATATATATATAATATGCATAGGAGCATACGTGTACTGCGTGTGCCGGCACAATGATACTTGAATTCGCCGCTTTAAGTCGACTAACTGGAAATCCAATTTTTGAAGAGAAAGCAGTTAAAGCAATGGCATTCCTATGGAAACAACGTAATCGGTATTCAGATCTTGTCGGTCGTGTTATCAATGTACGCAATGGTGATTGGGTTCGTCAAGGTAAATATTCTCGATTATTATTATTATTATTATTATTATTATTATTATTATTATTATTATTATGTGTAGTCGATTATTTATATCTATACCGATACATTATCCGATTTATTTTTAGGCATGGGTAGTTTGTAGGCCATCAAAAGAGTTGACTAATTCGTTAGCTGTTTTGTCATCATATTGGACTCACATAATTAATTAGGCGACCTTCAGTCGATCTGTTGTAGAGCTGTAACTTATGGCGCTAACCATTTGACTTTCAGTCAGTAGGTTGTCAGATATTAGAATCTCGCCGCACCCATCCTAGTCTGGGTATCTAGGTAGTATTATAAGCCGTTGTGCACAACAGGTGTGTCTCACTGCCTTACTGCCCAAATACACAACTCGTTGGTGAGTTGCATTTTGATAATCTTTTCTCTCCATTTCGAATTGATGTCATTGGTTTAGGCACTTAATTTCCAACCGATGCTTCATGGGTTCAAACTCCGCTTGAACTACCTAGCTCTGGGTAGCCAGGAAATATCACACTGACTCTCATACAGTAGGTGCGGCTCATTGCTTGTCTACTGCTTTGACGTGTTCTCGTGGTTGCTGAGTGGATTTCGATCTCAGGTTAATTTCACCTAGTTATAGTAGTTCTTATCAACGAGTGGTAGTCTGTATTCATCTTGTTAACTGGTAATGGAATCCAGATTGACGCGCGTTTCGTCCTATTTTGGACTCGTCAGTTTGATGTACCTGCGTCACCCAGCGAGTGATATCCCCACCGATACCCAAACCCCAGTACCCATTGCTTCCAACACCAAAGCATTTTCCACCAGGCCATTGGGACACCATAGCGACCTCTTCTCTTGTAGTCTAATGCGTAAAACATTGTCGAAAGAAAAGTATTTTTTTCCTCTCTCATCAGTTTGTGAAAATCACAACTGGAGGCAAATTATTCGATCTCCTCAAAAAATAACTGTAATACTAAACTGGTCATTCATGTAGTGTAAGTTGATTGTGTTATGTTCTGTGTATACCGAGTTAACATTCTGACATTGATAAGCATCACACTATTTAATATACAAGCGATTATCTTGAATAAAAGAATAATTTTGTTTTAAACCTACTGATTTACTTTTGAGATGAATGGGGATTTTAATTTAGAGGCGGTATTCATTACAGCTGTTTCTTCCTAGTATAGGACTCCTCATCAGTACACACCCACGACCCGCCCTGTCAGGGTCCGAACTCAGGACCTTCAGGTTTCACGGCGAACGCATTAACCCCTCAGCCTGTGGTTAACAGTTTCCAACTTCTTTTAATTCACAATAAAACTTGACTATCATTCAAAGTCTTCAGTTGGCATCGGGGTTGGTCCTGAGTTTGATCCCTTAACCGGATTGTAAGTGCCTACTGCTGAGGAGTCCCATACTAGTTGGACGAAACAGTTGTCCAGTGCTCCCAGGTTTTCAATGGTTTTCCAATTGATGTCAGTTCGTGATGAATACTACCTCTACTGATTTATTCTTTAAATAATTTTACCAGATGAAATCAGCATAGAATCAGAAACTGCAGTGTATCTCTTCAAGTTGCTGTACACTTCACAATAGTATAAAAAGAACAAGTGGATCGTAAAAAAACTGATATTAAAGTATACAAAGAGGTGTATAGGAGAAGAGAGAGTTATTTGAAAATGTAATTTAGTCAGATATAACATTCAAGCTTCGAAAACATCAAAGACACATCTTAGACCAATAGTGAAGTGATATCATCATGTTCCATTAATGCTGCCTCTAACCTCTATCCATTCTAAACTTACTTTGGCCAACATTGTGTAACGATGAGATAGATGGTAACTAGATATGCGTAATACATATCGATAAGAAATTTCTTGATTGGTCACTAGGAGGAAATCATTCTCATGTTATCTAGGCCTCCTGAATATGCTGGCCAATTTAATCAGCAAGTTAGGATACTCTTTGATGGATGTTATCTAGTTGGAGACAATTGGCAGGGATCTCTGTTTACCTGAGTTTCGTACTTGTTGGTACTCATCAACAAGGTGGATCTGCAAGCTTCAGGTAAGTGATGTCCCCTGTGAGATTTGAACCCACGTCACTCAGTAATATAGTCAGCAGTGTTACCGCTGAGCTATTCAAAGTTATACTGGACAACATGAAATTGATTCCCCTCTAGTAATGAATCAGTGTTTGTAATCCTGAGTAGTTCAATAATAATGTGGCTGACTACAACATTGGGTGATGCGAGTTTGAACCTTGGAGGTTGCAGATGCATCTTACCTTGACAAGTTCGAAGTCTATGTCAAGGGCTTCCTGCTGATTTCCTCTAACCAACTAACATTGATGAGAAGCTCCTTCACCATCATCATTATCATGCTGAATAACAACATTGGTTGACATCAAGAGAGAAATGTAAATAGCTTTACAGTATTAGACGTATATGGCAGTTGAATATACGCTATCACGAAACATGAAAATGCAAGAAATTTTCAGTGTTTACACCCCTACCTAGCTGGTAAACAGGTTTCAGGTTTACTTCGACCACTGAGCATTTTACTCATCTATTATTCTAAGAAGTGGTCAGCAAATAGGTTAACGAATGTCGCTGTCAACTCCTGACTCCCAACTAAAGTTAATCGACTAATTTTCGAATGAAACCAACCACTAAGCTAAATGATGTGACAATGAAGTACACTGTTATAGTTTCGAAGCGCTAATGGTATATGTATATATATTCCGAAACGAATATAATACGCTCGCTTATCTGACAGCTAACTTGGTAGGCAAGAGACACTGGCTGCAACCCCGGGACGAATAAAGAGAAGACTGAAGCTGGCAGATGGGAGAGTGGTATTACTCCGAGAATATAATATAATAACAATGAATCAATCCAAAACACGTGAATAAGTATACCCATGAAAAATGACCTTGTCCGCAATTGGAGGAATTCGCATAGTAAAAGTTAACCAATCAGCGAATTACATTACAATGGAGGCAGAAATAGACTATTAGTCATACCGTAATGTGGGAATGACACGTTAAAAAATGTTCAGATGAATAAGAATGTTTTATACAAAACTGGGGCATCACAACATACACTGTATCTGATATATATACTGCTGAGAGTCAGTCGAGAAGCTGTCTAACGTATAGGTCTCTTCCGTGTTATGACTTATCAACCAGATATGTCTACAATTGAATTTCATGCCTGGTCGATGCACTTTGGTTGCACCATATAGATAACGACATAGTGACCGATTTGTTTACATCATTCATTTCTACAAAGGGTTCAGGCTTGGTCTGCCTACCTTAGCTGTAAAGTATCTAGTTTCAACATTGAATGATATTGATTCAAGTGTTCAAGCAATGTCTTCGATATTCTTCATTCACTTTACTGTCAATCATCAACAGCATGTACAAAACTAAACCAAGCAGAATATCCCGTCGACTCAGACACCTGACCGTGTTTCTTTTTCAATTAGATGAGCTACCCAATCAGGTTTTTTCTCCTAATCTAGTGCTGAATTGATTTTTGACAAAGGAAGGTACCTGGTTAACTTGCCAATTACTCTATCCTTATATTCCTCATGGATAATGGTTTTGAGGGTAGTCCAGCTTGATGCACGTTTCGTCTTATGTGAGACTCGTCAGCTGGATGCACCTGCCACTTCTTGTAAGCTATCAATGTCCAGTATAAGTGGTTTGATATCTTTTCATAGTAAAATCAACAACAGTTAGACCTTCACACCTGGACATCAATACATATCATATGGGAACAAAGATGAATGACAAAGTTGACGACCCGAATCAACGGAATCAATACAGCTAACAAGTAACCTAACAAATCAGACTATGAAATCGATCAGTAAACAAGCAGGAAACAATGCGGCGCCGAAGTGGTGCAGGAATATGATTACAGCTCAAGGAGATAAGGGGGAAAACAACAAAGATGGTTTGCAAAGTATGTGATTTAATGCTGAAGGAATGAAAAAGGATATTTTAACCCTAACCATGATTAAGATATGATGGATTAGGGTAATGATGCTGGGTGATGATTGAAGGGGACATTAAGATCTCGACCACGACCGAACTCGAGCCGGCGATCATCGGGTTTCTGGCCCGATGCCCTACCAACTGAGCTACGAGGTCCGACTAGTGATCAGACTTTTATTTCACTTCAATCACTAATGATTTTTCCCGACTTCGATGTGAATTTGTAATGCATTACTATCGCTGGATCGTATTCACACTGGCTGCCTAGTCAGTACTTCTCATCCCAATGCAAACCTAACTGAATTAGAGAAGGAGAGAATCAAATTGATTATCATTTCGACTATCTGAGATAGTAGCCGTGGTTTGGTAGACTAGTAAATTGAAAATAATGGGAACATGAATTATGTTTGGGTTCAGTCGACGGATTGGTGCTGTTGCTTCTGTATAATGTAGCAGTCTATTGAAAGGTATGTTTGTGTCGGCGGCATAACCTGTATCGTAGATGTGTTTACCCCGTGACATTGGTTGCTGTAGCCTTTCACTTTAACAGATAGAAAGAATCATCATCTACATATCTTGAAAATGAATCTACAAGGTTTCGAACAACGTCTATTTGACAGCATGAATGTTCTTTTACTGAGGTAGATATGATGGCATCTTGAACCCACCAGCACACAAGAATACCATTTTAGATTATTAACACGGTATGAAAATGGAGAGGATAGAGAAAATTTGTAACTATACATAAACTGGAGATATACCTTGACTATCATCCAATGCCTTTGTAGAGTATTTCTTTTGATAAAACAGTTTGGTTGACCTCCCTGCCCCATCCCCCTCTCCCCAACTAGGTCACCATTTCTTGTTGAAACCTTTAGGGGGGAAATTTATTTCACAGTATGTCAATAATTAACCAGTTGACAATTATTCATTTCGAAGGTTTATATGAATTGATCGATTTCGAGGCCACGACTCATCATTGACCGATTGACAGGATTGGATAATTTCAGTGGATCATTTCGCAGTTCTTATTTCAACTGCAGTCTAATCGATCGTAGCAGTTATTTTCAGCACATGTTATAATCCTAACTTTGTATTTCAAGTTGATCTCCTAGCTTATTGCATATCATACGATCCAGTACAGGATTTCTGAGTTAGATTATGGACATGTAGTTTCACAAGAGGAGTTGAATGTGTAGATTCATATTCGTCTGGAAATGATATGACTTCAGTGTCACAGCTTGTGTAATGTTCTGTTGTTAATTGAATCGAATGTATTAATCACCGCCGACATTTGGCCTCCTCGAAATTTCCGTTAATTTCATTTTAATAATAATAATGGATAATTTCAGGCTCATCAGCTGGCGACCCCGACCTTTACTATTCTAGTGAACTTTTTGGTAATTTAGGCAATGTGTACTGGGTTCGGGTTTTTATGGAAACAACATCACTCTCTAGAAGGGGGTGGTTATGGATGTATTTAGCTGATAAGCTCCAGACAAGAGAAAACACGCACCTTAGAGCCTGATGCTAGCCACTACCTATAACATGGATTCTGTGTTAATTTATTATCTGTTCATTTCTCGGCATTACTTCTGCTTTAGAATCAGGTGTCGGTGCAGGTATTGATTCATACTATGAATACTTGTTAAAAGCGTATATCTTACTCGGTGAACCAGTCTACCTACATCGTTTTCAAACACATTATGAAGCTGTGAATCGTTATGTTGGCGGTCCACATTCAGCCGAATTTCCTTTTCTTTTCTTGGATGTACATATGCATCGACCAGCTCAACGTGCACGAACATTTATGGATGCATTACTAGCTTTCTGGCCTGGTATACAGGTGAGTAAATTTTTACGAATAATGAAATGATCTCAGTAACAACATCTAAGGTGGTGGACATAATTGTATGAGCCTTGATAATACCACTAGTTACGCAATCTATAGTATATGGATAGGAGTTCCAACTTGTAAGCTTTATATGCATGCACATTCTAGCCAATGAAGTCGGTGAAATTTTACAACTCCATCAACTGACCTACTTCTTTTACTTAGAACACCCCACCTGATATCTGAGTTACTGATGTAATGCTTCCACAACATACTTGCAACGCTTTGAAGGTAATACTGGTCAAACTCCTGAAGCTTTTTCATATCTTTAATCACTATATTTCACAGCCATAAAGTAAAGCAAACCGAACTGCTGGCCGTACTCTTGACCCTCAGTGGACAACCCGATGTGCAACTGGCGTAAGTCGATAAAAACCGGTTAAGTCTTTTGTATTCAAGCCGGGATTCCATCGGCCATTGATTCACCATAGCTGATCCAAATTCTTAAGTGAGTGAAATAGTCAACACATCCAACCATTCCAAACCCTGTCGTTAGATAAAGTATCAACTCAAACCATTTCAAAGGGAAAGGTTCACATCTGGGCGATGAGGAACACATTATAAATACTCTCAAAATATCACTAAAGGTCTCCAGAAAACTCTGTATCTTGTCACTTAACAGGACTATATCATCGTCTACAGTGGGGAGTCCCCTCTAAATAGGTCAACGCGAGTAAAGTCCAACAAGGAAGGACATACCCTCAGTAATCACATAGTAGTGGTTATCAGTTGAAGAAAATGATGCAAGGTAAGATGCAACCCGCCGGGAAGGTCAGCTCTACTTGTAAAAAGCTAACTTAGCTTCACGTAAACCTCACCTGATCAAGTAGTTCACTAGTTACTAGCCGGTCCTAAGCCAGGTAAAGAGGGAAGGTTAGGCATAGGGCTAGCAACCCTACCCCGTGAAACCAATTCAACCGCTAAAGAAACTCCAAAGCACAAACGATATATAAAAAATAAAAACAAACTTATTCCTCGCTGGAATCAGAGACGCGAAATGACGCCAGTTGGTGAAAGCCTTCGGGAAGCCAATTGGCCGATGTGTCTTCTCTCGATGAAAGCGAAAGTAAACATGGAGACATGGAATGTTTGCACCATGTTTGAACCCAGCAAGGCAGCCCAGATTGCAAACGAGATGAGAAGGTATCACATTGAAGTGCCAGGAATTTGCGAAAGCAAATGGAATGGGAGTGGACTCTGCAAACTGTCAACTGGAGAATCAATAATCTACTCCGGTCACCCAAACGACAACCAACAACAACAAACTCCAATCACCATCAAGGGGAGAAACTTAAAGGAAGTAACCTCCTTCACCTACACCTATCTAGGAAGCACTGTTTCAACTACAGGTGGCACAAGGACACACGAGGATCTCAAAATCAGCCAGGATGGGGAAGACAGCAAGACAGGCGTTCATTAGCCTGAAACCAGTGTGGAGATCTGCACTCAGCACTCACCATGTGGAACAAGATGTGGATTTTCAACAACAACCTAGTCAAGTCAGTGCTTGTGTATGTTTGAGAGACTTGGCGCGTTACGAAAGGTATTTCCAACAAATTACAGACATTGGTCAACAACTGCCACCTACGCTGGCTCGATAGTGAAGATCAGATGAGAAGGTGAGAAATAATAGGGAAGGAGGAACTCTGGCTGGCTGGCTGGCTGATGATGATGAACTAACGAAGCAAGAACCTACCACTGAACAAATATGCATTGGAAGGAAGTGTAGATGGATTGGGCATACACTGAGAAGGTGGACTGTGGACATCACTCGTCAGGCGAGTTGCTGGAGTGGGACCTCGATGGGAAGTGATCAGTTGGGCGTGCGAGGATAGGGTGACATGGAGGAGATTGTGTGAGGAGGAAATGAGAGGTTGTTGGCTGTGGTTGAGCCAGGTTGAAAAGATTTCAGAGGAGAGAGTGGAATGGAGACGTGTTACTGAAGGTCTATGTTCCATTAGGAACCCAAGGGACAAATAATAATAATAATAATAATAATAATAATAATAATAATAATAATAATAATAATAGTAATAATAATAGCTTCACGTAAGATTAACAGTTGTGAATTGATACTTAATGCTTAAAACGCCTTTATTATCATACTAATTTCTTCAATTAGTGAAGTGGTACATTTAACTGGATGGTATTTTGGTGAACACCAGAAGAATCACTACACCATCTTTTCATTTTTTTTACCAGCTAAACTTTACTACAACTCAATAGCTGGATACATTTACCATTGCTATCATGTTTTAAGTTCGAATATCACCTTAGATAGGATAGATTAGTTTAAGCAGTTGACTTTTCGATTACAGATTCTAATCGCTTATCCTACCAGCCTTCATATTGTAGTTGTGATTCATAGTCTAGTGTATACATATACACTTCTATAATAGTCACCGTTGTATAATTAAATATCAGCTCATAGGTGAATGTCGACTTTAATCTAGTCGGTGTGGATTACATGATGAATACTGGATTTTCGTATTTCTATCTATAGAAATTAACTTACCACAAAAAAAAGCGAAAGTATTGTCACTATATTTCTGCATGTTTTTCCCCTCCTTTCCTTCTCTTTCCACTGAAAAGGTACTTACAGGTGATGTGAAACGTGCAGTTGCATTACACGAATTATTATATTTAATTCATAAACGTAATAAATTATTACCTGAAGCATTTACACCAGATTTCAATGTACACTGGGGTCAACACCTACTTCGTCCAGAGTTGATTGAATCCACCTATCTATTGTATCGGGCTACACAAGATCCGTATTATTTACAAGTTGGTGAACAAATTGTCAATGATTTGGAGAAATATACACGTGTACCATGTGGTTTTGCAGCAATCAAGGTTTGTATTTCTTTTATTAGTCCTGTATAGTACTGTATATTTGTTATTGTTATCGTTGATAATAATGATACAACTCCATCGGGTATATGTTTTACACGCTAGACTATGGAGTGATACGTGTGTGAAGACTTGTATAAGCTTAGACAGTTTCTTAGGTCGACTGAGTAATTTTATTTAAATGATGGATAATGACTAGCAGTTGAACCCAGGACGTGCGTTTCGTCCTATTTTGGACTCATCAGCCGCATGTGCCTGCCTTCCAGTGGGCATTGTTGTCCTCACTCGGACTCGAACCCGCGACCGATCGCTTCAAGCGCCGAAGCGTTATCCACTAGACAGCTGAAGAATGACCCCCAAACAAGACAAAACGCGCGTAAAGCTGAATTCCACTACTAGCTGTTTACCATCATTTATATAAAACTGAAACAGAGGCAATATATCAAGGCATCCACACAGGAGTCCGAATACCCAATACAGGCCGATCAGTCTGATCCAATCAACGACAACTGAATGTATATTTACACGCATCGACTCAGATGTATAACTTATAAGGTGATTCTTTCTCCCCCCCCCTTGTGTTTTGTCGTTTCAAATCTGAAGTAAATTCCTCCGAACCAGCGCTGAACGATACCGATGCCTATGGGTATTTCGTGGGTGGTGTAAACGTTTTAAAACATTTTGCTGATACAACTTTCTGTCGACTTTTATCACTTTGAGAATTCTTTTGGTCTTCTGTTCACTGACTACTAATAAGCCATCCAGCTTTGAACTACTCTACTGTAATATTAATCAGTCATCATTGGTTGACAACTAGTGTTACGTACTTCTTCCTGTGCAATAGAGTAGTATCGCGGCCACATCCATACTACCAGTGTGGTTCATAGTCATGTACATAAATAACCTCTAAGTAAAATAATTCCATTTTGACATTTAGGGTAATAATCAACGATAGGCTCGACTGATACCTGCTATCTTTATGTAGTGATCGGGTCGGCATACCGCGTATATTGGATGAGCTGTGCTACTCTATTACAGAAAGGTATGTTGTTGAGTTTTCGTAAGGCTGAAAGCGGCCATTGCCACGATGTAAAACAGCCTGCGCCATGGTAGGGGGTCCGAGGTGGAAGTCGTACTGCTTACCTCACAGGTTATGACAGCAGTCAGTAAGGTGTTCTTTATGGAAGATCAATGGCTCATACAGATACTGCCTTCCCTTATTAAAAAGTTGGTGGGGGAGGGAGCTGCAGTAGAAAAGGTCGACTCTAAAAAGTAGTGCACTTCTCCCCTTCTATACGACCTTTCATTACTGGCGGTACTGGCTTTTCTAAGTTTGTTAAATTAGACATAGTTTGTCACTGGATTGATAGTTTCATACTAATTATCATTGGAAAATATAAGCCTAGTCATTTTTTGAGTCGTTGGTACCAGTCACATCATCAAGAAAACTCAAAATGATGTAAATTGTACACGAAGGAAGGCATTATCTCCATATTGCTTGGATTTATTAACTATCCTGGTGCCTAAGATGATGAAAAAGGTTGTGCAGTTTTGTGTAGAACTCAGGTTCTGCGTATATTGATGAAATGCTAAAGACTTTGGCTATGTATGTAGGATGAAGTAACTCATCAATGTGCAAGTTCATGCGATAAGTATACCTGTTAGATTAGATGTCATGGCACTTATCATCTGGCTACACACATACTTCGATTAGTGGAATAAGTTTCATGCTCGTGATTCAATGATTATGTTGAATGCCTAGACCAATGTGAACCAACGCTACAATTTGATGAATATTTAACAAAAGTATTCTAAACTATTAGTAAGATTAACTTTCTAGACTTTGTCTATGCCAACTCATATATTGAGTATATTTTACCCCCGGTATATGCTAGAGTAGATCGATGGTATGACTTGAATCATTACCACAGTGTGTTATTCATAACAAGCCACCAAAACATGTCTATTATAATCAATCTAACACTTCCCCTCTCTAAGTCAGTTCAGTTTGGAGACGAATAGAAAGCTTTTATTGGATAGGTAGTATAATAATGATAAATGGTCAGCTATGTACCGGGCATCCACATAACAATAAAGGGAACATTTCAAGTTGTTATTCATCGAAGACTGACATCAGTTGGAGGAACAAAGGAAACCTGGGAGCACTGGACAGCTGTTTCGTCCTAGTATGGGACTCCTCAGCAGTGCGCACCCACGACCCCACCAGCAGGGATCGAACCCGCGACCTTCAGGTTCCGCGGCCAGCGTGTTACCATTGAGCTAGCCACTGGGTCAGAATCCAATGCTCCATATTTCCAACTTCTGTTAGCTCACGATATAGCGCGAACCGCCACCTAATGTCATCGTTGAGTATTTGTCCTCACGGCCATCAGGCTTGACTCTAGCGGTCACGACTTGTCATTGGAACTTCGGGAATACTTCTCGAAGCTAGTCACCAACGAGCACTAGTTCAATTAAATTTTGAGGGGGTTGTGGAGATTTGGAAATATTTCAAGTTGTTATTCATCGTAGACTGACATCAGTTGGAGGAACAAAGGAAACCTGGGAGCACTGGACAGCTGTTTCGTCCTAGTATGGGACTCCTCAGCAGTGCGCACCCACGACCCCACCAGCAGGGATCGAACCCGCGACCTTCAGGTTCCGCGACCAGCGCGTTACCATTGAGCTAGCCACTGGGTCAGAATCCAATGCTCCATATTTCCAACTTCTGTTAGCTCACGATATAGCGCGAACCGCCACCTAATGTCATCGTTGAGTATTTGTCCTCACGGCCATCAGGCTTGACTCTAGCGGTCACGACTTGTCATTGGAACTTCGGGAATACTTCTCGAAGCTAGTCACCAACGAGCACTAGTTCAATTAAATTTTGAGGGGGTTGTGGAGATTTGGAAATATTTCAAGTTGTTATTCATCGTAGACTGACATCAGTTGGAGGAACAAATACTCAACGATGACATTAGGTGGCGGTTCGCGCTATATCGTGAGCTAACAGAAGTTGGAAATATGGAGCATTGGATTCTGACCCAGTGGCTAGCTCAATGGTAACGCGCTGGTCGCGGAACCTGAAGGTCGCGGGTTCGATCCCTGCTGGTGGGGTCGTGGGTGCGCACTGCTGAGGAGTCCCATACTAGTTGGAGGAAACAGCTGTCCAGTGCTCCCAGGTTTCCTTTGTTCCTCCAACTGATGTCAGTCTACGATGAATAACAACTTGAAATATTTCCAAATCTCCACAACCCCCTCAAAATTTAATAAAGGGAACCTTTATTTATTGATATGAAATTAGGACTTGATCAACAGCTAAGTTCAATGATAATCTGGACTGCGGTAAGATTCGAACTGATCGACTACTTCCAAATCCTGCCCATGACCTAGGTAGCTAATCACCTAGTATCAATAATACCAGTCTGTTTGACTACACTTATATCTCAATTACTCGGAGTGATCATCAATCAATCTTTGGTCATCACTTCACTTTTTCTGTTAGAACAGATCGCATTAGGAGTAGAAATCGGTACAGGTACAATCATAATGTTAGTTGATGGTAAAACGTAAAACTTACATCAGACTATAATGTGAATTATTGTAATACTAGATAGTACACTTACACTTACTTATGACTAAAGATGATGATGTAGTTCTTGTGACCAGTTAATACCTAAACGAAATTTTTTTTTGCTGGCAAATGTTTCACTGTCGAACTAGACATTCATCATCATCATCAGCAGCAGCAACAGCAAAAGTTACTTTTGAGATTGTTTAGGTGATCTTACACCTTTTCATTGTTATTATTACTACTAATTAGGATGTTCGAACTATGGAGCATGAAGATCAATTTGACTCGTTTGTATTAGCAGAAACCTTCAAGTATCTTTATCTATTGTTTGCTGAACCATCTGATATTCCAATCAATTTGGATGATTACATCTTTACAACAGAAGCACATCTTCTACCGTTGAGTCTTTCACGTCAACGTTATCCAACTGATGTTAGTATCAATACTATAGTGAATAGATCACAAGAGATTAATTCAATGCCTTCTTCAATGTCTTCTGCCTCTTCAGTGTCTACACCAAATCATCATGGTGATCGAGATGTTAAAATTGAAAGACTTCTTCATAAGGCAGCTCAGTGTATAGCTGTTGGATATGAGAAAAGACGAACCAGAAATACTGTCCAGTGTATGCTGAATACATCAACAATGAATTCTGACACTAGTTCTAACAGCATCAATGATGATAGTACTAGTTCTAGTAATAGCGGTGACAGTCGTGTTAGTCAGCACTTGGATTTAACAACGTGTGATATCTCTGAAACACCTGGTCTATCTTATAGTCGTTATATAAACCGATCACCGAAATGTCATAATGCATCGATGAAAACTTTGTCAAAATCGCATATTTGGCGTATTATTGACACTATACGACAACCATTACGTCAAATAGCCATCAATCTTGACCATTCAGTAGTCAGTGATTATACTAATAAACAGGGTAAAATGATGTTTCAACAGTCATCATTACCATTAAAAGCGATTGACTTTCAACCGGATAATATAGAACATTTGAACACATTAAAACGGATGGGTATATCATTAACATTCAGTCAAGATGGACGCATAACGCTGACACATCATCATAATGCTGTAAGTCTTTAAAGATTGTCTATTTTGGTTTGTGATCGCGTTTACTGTTTGAACGAAAATACTTTATTGTCAAATTTTGTGACACTGGTGAGATAACCGCTAGGTAGATAGATAGCTAGATAGATAGATAGATAGATAGATAGATAGATAGATAGATAGATAGATAGATAGATAGATAGATAGATAGATAGATAGATAGATAGATAGATAGATAGATAGATAGATAGATAGATAGATAGATAGATAGGATAGATAGATAGATAGGATAGATAGATAGATAGGATAGATAGGATAGATAGGATAGATAGGATAGATAGGATAGATAGGATAGATAGGATAGATAGGATAGATAGGATAGATAGGATAGATAGGATAGATAGGATAGATAGGATAGATAGGATAGATAGGATAGATAGGATAGATAGGATAGATAGGATAGATAGGATAGATAGGATAGATAGGATAGATAGGATAGATAGGATAGATAGGATAGATAGGATAGATAGGATAGATAGGATAGATAGGATAGATAGGATAGATAGGATAGATAGGATAGATAGGATAGATAGGATAGATAGGATAGATAGGATAGATAGGATAGATAGGATAGATAGGATAGATAGGATAGATAGGATAGATAGGATAGATAGGATAGATAGGATAGATAGGATAGATAGGATAGATAGGATAGATAGGATAGATAGGATAGATAGGATAGATAGGATAGATAGGATAGATAGGATAGATAGGATAGATAGGATAGATAGGATAGATAGGATAGATAGGATAGATAGGATAGATAGGATAGATAGGATAGATAGGATAGATAGGATAGATAGGATAGATAGGATAGATAAGATAGATAGGATAGATAGGATAGATAGGATAGATAAGATAGATAGGATAGATAGGATAGATAGGATAGATAGGATAGATAGATGATGTGTCGTGAATTGACAGAAGTTGGAAATTGTGAACCACAGGAGAGTGACGGACCCAGGGGCTGTATGGTTAACGCGTTCGGCGTGAAACCTGAAAACCCTTTGTTCGACCCCTAGCCGGGTCGTGGGTGCGTGCTGGTGAGGAGTCCCATACTAGGACGAAACAGCTGTCCAGTGCTCCAAGATTTTCAATGGTTCCTCAACTGATATTAGTCCATGATGAATACTACTTCTAAATAGATGTAAACATTATTTCGTTGTGGTTCAAGTTGTCACACTTTATATCACCACACCAACCGACAATTCATCACTATGAAAACAAGAAAGCATGAAAAGAGAAAAAGGAGGAATAAGAGAATACTGATGTATCTTATGATAATTCAGATGAAGATAAACTGTGGATGTATCTACCGACTGAGATCGATTCTTAGCGATATCACCCAAAGTTTTCAACCACTGGTTTCTGTTATCATGCAAACCCAAACTAGTAAGTACTACATTCTCCTAGACGACTGAAATCAACAGTGAAAAACATCACGAATTGAGACCGTCGCCCCTAACTCTTTTCCAGTCTGAACCTAATACAGCTGACATATTGCAACGTAACAGATAGTGACGCAGCGTGTGTAACAGATGAGTTGATGGAGGTTCATAGTCTGATCAATCGACTTTCCATTTCTGACTTCTACGTTACTGATTTGGTGACACCACGATATACTGTCTATTCGATGAAGGCGATATTAGTCGAACATCTGAAACCTCCTCATGTCATACTGGTGATATAGCCAACTTGCCTTTGAAAAGTCTAGTGTACTGCACTTCAGTTCACTTTGTCTTACCAACTGACTATAAAACATATAACCATTAAAGTTGAAAGACATGGAAAGACTAAACAGGTTTTTGACTAACGTTGCCTTTTTTTTTTAGTATCACCCTCGTGTCGTAGAAGCACCATGTCAGCAACCTACATGTTAAGCTTAGTGTTTAAGTTAAAGCAAAAGAGAGATCAGATGATTAGATTGCAGATCTTCATCGACGAAGGTAACTTGAGAATGTGTTACACAAAAAGTTAACTAGAGCATCGTTCTCTCACTGAACCTCGGCAATGCCTCATGTTTCAATTTATTGTTATTTAGCTTGATGATGGGTAGCAGTGGAATCCGGTATACGCGTTTCATAGTAATTAGGACTGGCGGTCGAGCAATTTCACCCTGTTATAGCAACTGGAATTTACAAATATCATTACAAAAACTGACACCTGTTGCACAAAAGGTGGCTATCATGTCCCACTGGTTTGGTGGATAACGCTCTAGTGTTTGAAACGAAAGATACTGGGTTGGAGCCTCGGTGTGAACATCAGTCACTGGGGTGCAGGCGTATCTTGCTGACGAGTCCCAAATAGGGTGAAACGCGTATCTTGGATTTCTTCTGCTTGTCACCAAGATCAATATAACTAAACTGAAACAGGATATTTACCAAGAAAGACCTAACAGTTTGGTCCTGTATAAAAAACCAGCAGTAAACTACAAGCACCAATAAATAACAAGTGATCAGCATTGTACAAAAGGTGACTCTCATGACTTGGTAACCTAGTGGCTAACGTTTAGAGCAGTGGGTTTTGAGTTCGAGTCCCGGTAAAGATAGAATCACTCACTGGGGTGTAGGCAGATTCCGTAGTTTTCCAACTATCCAAGTGTGTGTGCGTGCGTGTATTATTTACAGGATTTGACAAAAGCTAAGGATAGTCAGACGAGAACATCTCTCTCACACACAGTCGTATCTTTCTGGTTACCTGGATTGAACTATTGTTTATATGTACTTATTCTTTGCTTTTTTCTTTGTCACCAAGGCTACAAGTGTAAGTCACCCCTCTGTTCGGTTAACAACTATAATTTATGAAATACATTTTTCAATTTTTGAAAATCAGGTTTTATAGTTTGACTATTTATTTGGTGCAGTTTAGTGAATCAAAATGCCCACCACAGTAACCACATAGATATTCATGCAGCAGGTGATAAAATGCACTTATTATATGAGAGTTAACGATACCATCTGAATGATTGCTGAAACCTTGGTTGATAGTGCTGGGCTCGAACCCATGACCCATCGATTAGAAGTTGTCTGCCTAGACTAATTTAAGCGGAATAATTTAAGTAGATAGGTCTTGTCTCTTAATTTCTTAATTTTCCAACACTTTTCCATCACCTTTGATTGTGTTATGGTTTGTTTGAATATTCAACGTCTTAAATGGACGGGTTTAATTGTAAGGAAATTGATTGAATGAATGACTCAAAATGCGTATTACGACAAGGTCTCAAGACCTTGAATAGACGACTATTTATTACTTGTTAGTTTGAAGTGGATAAAGAATATTTATACCTCGGATGGATAATTTTCGCGATATCATGTTCTCTGTGAGCTGTATAGTTTGATAATGAAGCTTTCATTGTCATTCTAGACAACGTTGTCAGTACACTCCTTAGTTTTCCTATGAGATCATTCATTAGACCATGAATGATTACTCCAAATCAGTAGTGAGGTTAGACAGAGAGTTGCTGGATTTCTTCATTCCCTTTTAACTTGACAATTAATAATATTCGCAAGACAGTCCCGAAAGAAAGGTGCATATTAGTGTAAATCTGTTACCAGATGATGTAAGACTTTTCAACTTCGATTATCCGGACAACATTGTTTTACTGTGCGACAGCTTGTAGGTTATTCAAATCGCACTCAATCGATCAGTTTGTAACGAGTATCCGTAATTACGGTGTGTGTTTTGCATGACTGAATTGTAAAGTGCTTCCACAAGACTGTTAGAAGTTTGTGCATAAACTCACCGTTGACGGTGAATCGGTGGAAGTTGTCGAAAAGTGTTTATACCTTAGTATTGTGTGGTAGTTGTGAACAGTCCTGCTTGAAGCATTCAAACCTAGCCTCTCCAAGTTTGATTAGCATGATTAGCGACTCCATGTTTCTAATCAGCATCGTCTCCAGGATTGTTCGTATTCGAGTAAAAGCACTGTTTATTAAGTAGTTCTGAGGTGAGGCGGCGTATAAGTTTCACTCGATAGAGGTCGTCATTCACTGAGTGAGGTCATCTTGAAACATCGGGTTCAGTTACTTGGAAGTGGGTTACAGATGTTTTCCTAACATCTTCTACGCTTCACGTGGTACTGATGGGAAGAAGCGAAGAGATCTGGTTAGTGCCACAACAACATGAAGAATAGTTGTGTTAGATTAGCAGCATCTGTAAGTGTTTCATAACTCTCTAGATTGGATCCGATCGAAGTGGGTGAGAATCAAAAATAGTGGGGTTCATATTGGAGTTTTACTATGTACTAATATAATCGATCAATTTATGACATTGCTATGTGTGTGTTGGTGTCAAAAGCATTCCAATTTGAAATAATGGAGAATATTTGTAGCTCAGGTGGATGGTCTTGTTTGTATTGTGTTTCTCTGAGGAGATCCGTTGTTTAATCGTGAAGCTTTCATCGCCTTGCTAGACGACATCATCAGCACTAACTTTACTATGATGTGTGACCTATCAATAACTCTCAGTGAGTGATTTAGTAGCTTGCTCTGACAATGTGGTTTGTGATTGGTTGTTTCCTTTGATTGTTGTGTCATTGACTGACTCCATAGAGTTTCCTGTCGGCTGTTCCTCTGCTTCACCTCTCACCTTCCTGTAGTTTATCATCTTCACTGGTTGATAGATTGGGTCTATGTCTATATATCTATTGATTACTGACTGACTGGCCTGAATGCCAAGCTTCTAAGAATCCTCTGTTGATATTCTTTGTGTTTCGTCTGTCTAAAATGTCTACATTGTCGAAATTGAATTCATGTTCATAAGTATTCACGTGCATTGAAATGAGTGACAAAATGTCCTGGCGTTTAATAACCAATTGGTGTTCTCTTGTAGACGAAGGTGAAGAGGGTGGCCGCTTTGTTCAATGTAGTGCTGACTACAGTTATTGGAGTTTTGTAAATGATGCTCGGTTTGTCTTCTTTGTTTGTTGCATCCTTTGGTCTGCATTATAGTGTTTGAAGGGAATTTGTTGGTTTATGAGCCACACCGATTCCATGTAGTTTCAGTAATCTTGTCGTGATTTCTGACATATTCTTTATGTATGGTTGGATGATGCGTCTGTTGATTTCTGTCGATGATTTTGTAGTTGATAATAGATAATTATGGACATGAATTCAATTTCGATAATGTAGACATTTTGGACGGAGAGAGGAAACACAAAGAGTACCAGAGAATTCCTAGAAGCTTGGCATTCAGGCCAGTCAGTCAGTAATCAATAGATGTATAGACATAGACCCAATCTATCAACCAATAAGAAAAATGATAAACGACAGAAAGGTCAGAGGTCAAGCAGAGGGACAGCCGACAGGAAACTCTATGGAGTCAGTCAATGACACAACAATCAAAGGAAACAACCAATCACAAACCACATTGTCAGAGCAAGCTACTAAATCACTCACTGAGAGTTATTGATAGGTCACACATGATAGTGAAGTTAATGCTGATGATGTCGTCTAGCAAGGCGATGAAAGCTTCACGATTAAACAACCCATCTCCTCAGAGAAACACAATACAACCAGGAGCATTCAAATTTTTGATGTGTTGATGTGAAAGTGAATAATGACACATGGCACCTAACATCTAAGTCTTTATGGTTGTATACAGTTGAATGCGTTTTAGAGTTGCAATTATTTGCTTTTCATAGGTGTTCATAACATTCCTATCTCCTTACTATCTCTTATATAATAAGAATGCTGATCACAGCTTGAACCCTTTTTCATATTATACGATGGACAGTGAATAATCTTTGTGCTTATGACGTGAAAGTAGATCAATATATCACGCCTATTCTCCTAGCATTGATTGGTTCTCATTTATCCAATTCTGTCTATTCTCAGTGTAGTAGTAAGGTCATCATTCAATAACCAACGGTAGGTGTTATATCCTGAAATAACTTTTAGATTCCACTATTTAACGGTTGCGCTCAATTCTTTGGTAAATAGAAAAGGCGGTCAGATAACAAATGTTGTTTTTACAGCGTCAAATGTTTGGAACATCTTTGACTGTTTTTAGACTTTTATAGAATGTCATATCCTATTGGTTTCTGCCTTTTTAACCAATCTGATATATATATGGTGCTTTTTCTTGAAGCCGCGAAAAACTTTCGGGATTTCGAGCTTGTTTATGCCGATCTGAGCAATCTTATCTCACACTATAACAGTAGACATGTCATAGGTTTTTATCAGAGCTTTATTAAACGTATCTGAAAGGAAGTCAGTCAATAATGTTAACTCATTACCAACCCAGTGGCTAATGTTGTGACGTGCTGACAGTGTGACTTTACAATTCTCGACTTGATATTGTGTGGTTGTTGGCGTACACGTCTGAAGAGTTCTAACCTACTTCTAGTCCTTCTTCTAAACGGTAACAAAGACTGTTTGGAAATCAATTACAAACCTTTTAACTTCATTCAGAATTTCTAAATGTTTATATATTGACTGTCATCAGTATCTGAACACTCATTTTCACATGTTTTTTTCTTCGAATAAATAGAAAGGTATAAAGACTCTTCTCTCAGGGGTGTTATTTATTCCTCTGCCTGATTGACTTTTATCCAGTGAGCTACAGATTTGATCTTGATTTTACGTATCCAGGTGTCGGCAGCCAGACTATCATCATCAAGTGTGACTCATTCCCCGGTGCAGCAAATCGAAATCCGTTCAGCCACTTTATACACACTTGTGTGGTAGACGATAAGCCACACCTATTGTATAAAGACTATAGTTCCTAGCCGCCTAAACTCCGTTAGATGGAACTGAGTTCGAACCTATGAGTTGGAAGTCTTTCGCCTGAACCAGTAACTGACAACTTTACCTCCTAGTCCTAGAATCTGTACGAGGTTGCTGACTTATTTTCAGTATTTATCTTGTGTGTAATATACATATTGTCTTCAGATTGTCCAATAAATCGCGAACTGACAGAACCACTCAAATGAATCATATGTTCCAAGTAAATAACCAACAGTTTTAGAGTCGTTGATATACGAGTGAAACTTGGGCACTATGGTGGATTTTTAATTCCATTTTATTTTTTCACATTGGTATTCATCATGGACCGACATCAGTTGGAAAAACAATGCAAACCTGGGAGTACTGGACAGCTGTTTCATCCAAGTATAGGACTCCTCTTCAGTGCGCATCCATGACCCCGCAGCGCCAGGGACCGAAACCAGGACCTTCAGGTACCATGGTCAGCAGGTTACCATTGAGCTACTAGGTCGATTTCCAATGGTCCATATTTCCTACATTTGTCAGTTCACATTATAGCCCGACCTACATCGAAGGTTATCGTTGAGTAACTATCCTCATATTCGACTTTGTTGACTCCACTAGTCACGACTTCTCATTAAAAGTGCAGGAATCACCTCTCAAAGCTAGTCACCAGTGATTACTAGATCAATTGAATTTGAAGATTTTTCGGGATTTATTTATTGATTTAAGATTGGTATTAATCATGGACTCACATCACTTGAAGCAACATTGGAAACCTGGGACACTGGACATTAGTTGATGGTCATGCTATGTTGTTAACTTACAGAAGTTGGAAATAGGGACCATTGGATTCTGACTCAATGGCCTAAGGGTAGCGTGCTGGTCAGGGGATCTAAAGGTCCCGGGTTCGGTCCCTGGCGCGGCGGGGTCTATGATGAATAGCAATTTGGAGAAAAAACAACACTAAATCTGCACAAACCTCTAAGTTCAATTCCATTTTAGTCTGTTTATTAGAAATGTCACACAGGGAACAAACAATATCATTTACTGGATAACGTACGTTTCGGACATAATTTATTGTCTATATATTCATACTGAGTAACTAACTCCAAAGCTTTGAGACAGAGTTTGTATTGTTTTAGTTCTCTCTCCTTCTTCTTTATGAATCTTTTATGTATTTGAGACAGATGCAGAATGATTTCCACTGTATGTATTTGGTTGTTGATTCGATAAACAATGATGACTCACTTATCAGTTTCTTCCTTCATCCAACTAAGTTAGTGTTCAATACTGTCGCTCTATCCAACCCTACAGCTGAGCTTTCCTCTGAGTCTTTTATCTTGTTAGTATCTACTAATCTTGATTAATGTTGTTATTGTAATTGACTCTGATCGACTCGTCTGACTTATGTATTCGACCTCGCAATCATTGTAAGGGATTTGGTAAACCAAATTATTTTGCCTAATTGAATCAAGAGGATCTCTTAGCCTACAAAAGTTGTTTGTAAGAGTATTTGTCGATTTAATCGCCACTTTGATCCCAAACTTCTTGAAAATTCTACGTAATGTAACACTTCTGAAGTGCCTTCTACTACTGCTAATTAGCAGTAGTAGTAATTCTTCCGAATATCTTAAAGTGCTGTGCAATGTATTTGTACTGATGCACAGATGTCTAGGTGAAATATATAAATTGCGCCGCATACTTGAATATGCATATCTCAGAAGAATTTTACGTTTCAAGATTACAAGATCGTGGTTAGTTCCACACTTGGAAGACCACAGCATGTTTTGCCTTGGTTTATACCGAATGAAATGGAATAGTCTCACTGACCCAAGTAACAGATGTCCATAGCTAAACATAACACTGGAAACGGATCACAAGGTTGATTTGTATACTTTTCTCAAGCTCATTTACCTAATATAGGCATAAAACTTGAGCACTGTGGTACAATGTAGTTTCACTAATCTAACTGAATCCGGCTGGCTACTTTGGCCTATTTACTTGAACCCGTAGACAAACAGAAGGAGTAGCAACGGGATCACTAAACGTACCCAATCGTAGCACATCTATTTATGGATAGTTGGAAAAACATGGTTTTACAAACGTTTAATCCTGCACTAAAAATATTGTGGCGACATGTGGATGACACATTTACTGTGTTGAAATCGGAACATACCGACAATTTCGTCATATACATAAACTCAGTGGTAGGCGCAATCTAATTCACTTACGAGCAGGTAGAAAATAAGCAAAAAGAATTACCTATGTTAGATTGCAGGATAAAACGAATAACAGATGTCTACAGAATTCGATAGATTCCATTAAGTAAAATAATCTAATCTACCGAATTCCGTGTAGTGACTGTAAGGTCAAGAACATAGTTTAAAGTAGCCAGTCTGGGTCAGTTAGATTAGCAGAACATAGGAAGTTAGCCAATGACAGGCCCCAATGACATCAGTAATGTAGGAAATAAAAATTCGGCTGTTGCGTGCATTAACACAACCACACTATAGGATAGGTGGGATAAAACCACTGTATTTCATTCCAATAGAATTAGGTGGAGATAGAAAGAGATTAGTTACTGAGTTCATCGAATCAAAACCCAACACGTATGCAATAGGGATGACACAACACCTACCTACACCAGAGATATGAAGGATTTTACTATCCATAAAAGCAAAGGATATGAGGTGACAAGACTATAAAAGTCAGATGTTGAAAGTAGTGTGATTACTGATTCACTAACTGTGTACTGACTATTCCATATTGGAATACTTGGGTATTTAGTTAGCTGCAGCAATAAACAAGTTTGTAGTAACTCAACTTTCTCACCAAAAGAGTGTTTCATGTATGATCTTCCTTCTTCAATCTAACATTTCACGATGCGTTTTGAGCTTTTAAAACAAAAAGTTCATATGTAAGTCTAAAGCTATCCAACTAAATGGTATATACCTTTACATCATTTTGTCAGTAGATTGGTACACTATCAACGATTTGAACTTGAAGCACATAATTTTATTAAAGTGTTCAAATATGGTCAGATATCTCGCTCTTGTAGATCAAATACATGAGTCTCTATCAGTATGTTCGACTTGCGTTGTTGTTGTTGTTGTTGTTGTTGTATTTACATGCAACTATGAAGTTCATTGATCTAGGCATATGACTTTCAGTTGAAGGGTAACATGTTCCAACCTCACTTCATTTACCAAGGTCTACACAACTATCGTACACAATTGAAGTGTAACTTATTACCTACCTCATAAATGTGCACGTAGTCACTGTGTGTTAATATTTACACGTATACTAGAGAACATTACTAATTTGATATTGTTTTCAAATTCATGTTAGTCAAGTGTAATATACATAATTGTGTATTCTACTTTCTCTGTTATTTCTACAAGGCAGAAGAGGCAGACTTGGCGACTGCAGGAGTTATGTTCATTCAAGAGCTGATCACTTTAACCAATAAGAAACAAAGTATAAATGGTTTGTTATACACTTATATATTACCTGATTCATATATTTTTTTTGATAGATGTTTAATTGTCATCTGAATAGAACTTTCCTTATGGTTTCAGATAAGCTGTGCAAATGACTACCAGCAAGCGTAAAACCGACGTCAAGAATCATTTACTCTCAATCGACTTCTACCCCTACCTTACCCCCACCCTTTGACATAAAAGAGATGTTAGTACATAAATGTATGAACAAGGATAATCATAATAATCTCTCAAAGTTTCATCATTCGATTGCCAAATAGAAGTTAATTGGACTTGAGAATGCATAACTGCCTCATCTGTCTATCTCTATAGATTAAATATATTGTTTAGATGAAATTGAACATTCCAATCAGTTTAATTGTAGCTATTTACACTCCTAACTACAATTAAAGAAGTGAAAGTGTTACTCATTGGTTTAGGTAATTGACTTTCAACAAATTGGATCATAGGTTCGAACTCCACTTTACTAACTCAAGCTATACAGTATCCATTGGATCATACAATAAGTGTGGTTGTTGTCTGTGGATCAAGAATGTGTACTTGGTGCGTGTACATTATCAGTTTGCATAAAATGATGCATAGAAAACGTTTTCAATAGGAATATCAATAATGCCGTGAAACAAAATAGTTTCATCCCCCTTCTAGAAGAAGTGAATTAACCCATATATTGATTGGTCCATTAGCGACAGTAACCAAGTCCTGTGTTCTGATTGAATTCCAGAGACTAATCTAGATGAACTTGAACTCAGAAATGATATGGTTTCACTATTCTCTTTAATATAAGCTTTTCTACCTATAAAACTACGAGATTATGCACTCAAATTGTGATGTAACTGGTAGTGTCGGGTTAGGATATAGGTTCTAATAATAAACGAAACTAGTAACAACCCAACAAGATAGTTGGACTGGATACGAATAATGCTACCATTCTTCCCTACACATGATACTTCATTGAGTTATGAAAATCAGAAGATGAGCATATGATTAACTTCAGGAAGACAACACCGAATAACCTTGAATGATGATTTTCATTTTTGGCCACTTTCTAACAGATTTTGTGTATAACTGGGATCAATTGCACAATATTGTTTATTGACTTTATAATTCTAATGGGATTCAAACTGGTATAAATTTATCTACTAGATTTTTAGCCAAACTTGTAGTTTGTCTAAATGTTTAAAATTATATCAGACTGTGAAACGATTGGAAAAATGTTGTGATGAGCATAGAACACATTGTTTCAAGCTGGAGTTCATCGGTGATTGAACAACATCTTCATTTTAAATTCAAAATTCCATCTATATACTTTTCAAGTATAATGCTTTAAGTCGTTGTCATAAACTGTTTCTCTTTTTTGACTACTTTAGACGTTCATTTAAAATAGTTTCCTATCTGTATGAAATGGGGGTTATTCTATCCCCCCCCATGATATTCCTGATTGTAGTCGACTGGATCATGCAGCAAACAATGGGGAGCGAGAAGAGAAGGATACTCTGGACTACGGAAAAGAACCTAGAAGATTTGGATTTCGCCAACGATGACTTCTGTCTGATGTCACACAAACTTGAAGATCTACAGGAGAAAACTAACAAGTTATCAGAAGAGGCAGCGAAGATGGGACTTCAAGTGAATATAGAGAAGACAGAGGTGATGAAGATACCGCACCACCACCACCACCAACAACAACAACAAACTCCAGTCACCATCAACGGGAGAAACTTAAAGGAAGTAGTCTCCTTCACCTATCTACGAAGCACTGTTTCAACTACAGGTGGCACAAGGACAGACGAGGATGTCAAAGTCAGCCAGGATGGGAAAGACAGCAAGACAGGCGTTCATTAGCCTGAAACCATTGTGGAGATCTGCACTCAACTCAGCATGTGGAACAAGATGTCGATTTTCAACACCAACCTAGTCGAGTCATTGCTTCTGTGTGATGGTTGAGAGACTTGTCGCGTGACGAAAGGTATTTCCAACAAATTATAGACATTGATCAACAACTGCAGCATACGCTGGCTCGATAGTAAAGATGAGATCAGATGGCCAGAATAATGAGAATAAGCAAGGAGGAATTCTGGCTGGCTGGCTGGCTGGCTGGCTGGCTGGCTGGCTGGCTGCTGCTGGCTGGCTGGCTGGCTGGCTGGCTGGCTGGCTGGCTGGCTGGCTGGCTGGCTGGCTGGCTGGCTGGCTGGCTGGCTGGCTGGCTGGCTGGCTGGCTGGCTGGCTGGCTGGCTGGCTGGCTGGCAAGGAATCAAGGAAGGAAGAAGGTATTGCTGAACAAATATGCAGTGGAAGGAAGTGTAGATGGATTGGGCATACTCTGAGAAGGCCGACTGTGGACATCACACTTTAGGCGAGTTGTTCGAGTGGAACGGGAATGGGAACTGAGGAGTTGGGCGTCTGAGGATAGGGTGACATGGAGGAGATTGTGGGAGGAGGAAATGAGAGGTTGTAAGCTGTCGTGGAGCCAGGTTGAAAAGATTTGAGAGAAGAGAGTGTAATGGAGACGTGTTACTGAAGATCTATGTTCCATTAGGAACCCAAGGGATCAAATAATAAGAAAATAAAATATATATAACCAACTACATTTTGTCTTCTGTTGTTCGCATCAACATCATTTCTTTTTATGACGTTTTTTTATAAAGACATCGAAATTATATAAATTTCTAGGGTTAATCTATCTTCTGTGACCTATGTATCAAGAAGAGTATAAACCTATGCAGTTAAGTTGATACAAAAGTATATCACCACTTAGAAATCTTGTTAATAACACACACCACTAATAACTTTGCTGAATATCAACTACAACTAATCCATAATCCTATCTCCAATTGAAGGATAAATATCTATTTAATGCGTATAGAAACTGTACTAGGATCTTAAGTCAATCGAATTTGTCTTTTGTTATTACAGGCTAATACTCAGTACCCCTTCTTTTATTAAACTCTCAAGGATAACCCATTTAGACATTTAGAAGAAAAACTGATTGAATGAAGAGATATATTTGTTCAACCAGTTTCATTATCTTGCCTACCAACATAATGTAACTTTTATCTTAAATTTTTCTCCTCATATTTTTATCCACTGTATATCTTTCTCACCATTAATCTTGTAAAAGTTAATACCATATCTCTAATTGGACTGAAAAAAAAAAACTGGCATCAATCATTAGTCATTACTCAGGAGTGATTAGAGATAGTTGAGTGATCTCTTCTTCTTCCTCATTTCTTATCATCACTATTATATATCATCTTTTACGCTAGTTCAAATCAGCTGTTTATTAATGATTACCTAGAAAAGGCATCTTGTCTATTTGAGTGCTAAATTTGTCTCAGTAGTACCTACCCAGTAGTGATTTAACAAGATGAATACCGACTATTTGGTCATGGGTTCGAGTACTGCTTCACCTACCAGATAGTATTACTAGCCTTCATACAACTGGTTGGACTCATTCCCTACTGTAATAGTATATACAAGATAGCTGAGTATATTTCGTTTGTTCGTTTCGGTGTCCACTGGTCTCTGTGTGTGTGTATGTGAGTGAGTAGTGTAATCACCTAACAGTTAATAGATCAACTGGTTCACTGGTTCTAAATCCAGCTTGTGTGTGTTTTACTTCAATCTAGATAAACTCACTATATCCTCATTAAGTCTATAAGAAGTTGTTTATTGATGAATTTTGTATTCTTATTCATCCCTAACTTATTAGGTCTTACAGTTGAAAATCGTTATGTCGTTGTAATAAATGCACCGAGTTATGGTTTTATAAGATTTTCTGCTTGTCCTGCACACTTTGGTATATTCCCTGGAGAAGAAATACAAGGTGAACAACAAGATGAGGAAAGAAGTCAAGCAATAAACACATTTGATAAAGAAATTGGACAACAGTCAACAGCAACACTATTGTCGTCGTCATCGGTGAATTCCAGTGAGACAAGAAAAGCCACTTGGCAACCTTTAGTTGGACCTGTACGTGTAGTTGACCCAATCGATGCGTGTAAACCTATCACAAATGACAGTTATGCTTACCCATCAGACAGTCTATCATGGAATCAGAATCCAACAGAAATAGGGATTAACTCTCCGAGTAGCATAGAGATTATGCTACAGAGTAAAGGCCCAATATCTGGTTCTATCGGTATTGTTCGTCGAGGTGGTTGTGTATTTGTTGAGAAGGCTTATCATTTGGCTCAAGTGAGTGAATAACAATATCAATATATATTAGATTTGTTGAATGTTTCATCGCGTCACTTTACAGGGTATAAATACTCAACCTCTCTTGGCAGATAGACTCCTATACGGATTTCTTAATACCGTCAGATATTCAAGTTATTGCATTCATTCTCGTGACTAGCGGTGGCTATTATGCCCTTATGGCCTAGTGCATAACGATTTAGCATTTAAAGTGGTGAGTACTACGTTTAAGTCTCCTCAGTGGAAACAACAGCGCACATATGGAGTGGTGTGCAAATATGTCCAACTGATGAGTGAGTCCTAAACATGAAACGCGTATCCTAGATTCCACCGCTAGTCACCAACGTGAATACAATTTCATCTGTATATTTTTAATTGATTCCAATTTATGCCTTTATGAAAACTGTGGTCTTGGTAAAGGAAATTTCAGGTGTTTTGTAGATTTGTCTAGTCCTGTGTTCTAATAGAATTCTGTTGATCATTTCGCAGTACAACTACCAAGCTAGAAAACTCATCATCGTAGTACACTTTGATAGATATGAGTTGATTGTAGGTAGTCGACAAGAAGTCAGCTCTTTCTTGGTTGTCTACACTCATCAGATCAAGGCATATTTGCAACTTTAGAGGAATTATTCTCTTTTGAGAGTGTCTCAGATAGGATTCAATCTGTTTGATAAAAAGAACGACCAAGCTTAGTATCATGAAAGTTAACATAAAATACATTGGTTCGAATTCCTATGTGATATGATATAGTGACAGAAACATTCAACTTTCAAGCAATAAGTTGAAGGTTCAAGCCGCACTCCGTTACATCGATCTAGATCGCCTTCATATAACGATTGTGGCTCATAGCCTAGTACATAAGCATTTGCTGCTTTGAGTTAGGCTTCTAAGCAATTACTTGCTTGATTCCTGTGAGTGAAAATAGTTTTTAACCCACATTGACTATCAGAGTTCTGTTTAGTTCATGGATCATTGCCACGTCTTAATGTGACTAATAACTTTTTTACGGGTTTCCTGGCATGCGTAATATATTGCAATCACTGTAGTCTGCTCAAGCTGATAACCTTATCAACTAACTCATCTTCGTTTTCAGCAACGCAAAATGATCAGCTACCTTTAAGATTGCTCAGCGTATGGTTCCCATTTTACATGAGCAATACAGTGCCAAAAAAAAACAAAGTATAATAACTTAGATGTACTCTAGATGTACGTCATCAGTGTCTTACAACCAGATATTGCAGCAAAGCGAACGTCTTGAAAGTAGATGTACTCTTTGAAAGGTAGTCAGTTGGATAATTCACCGTTTTCATGATATAATTAAACCATGTAGGTGTTGGTGATGTGTCTTTCAAGGTATGATTTTATTTAATGGTCTATGTATCCGACCACATTATATCAAATAACCAGGTTACATCTGGGAAGAGATCAATGCAGATGAAACCAATAAAGATGAAGAAGGAAATTTAATTACAAAAGAAGAGAAACAAAAGAAACGATGAGCTGACGACTTCAAAAAGCTCTTGAATCGACCACCGCCTGCACTTCGTCCAGAAATACCACCTACAGCCGCTGAACTACAAGTGAACACAAGCCCTCCGACCAAACTCGAAGTCCTGAACGCCATAAAGCTACTGAAATGAGAAAAAGCCGCAGAACCAGATAGAATCCCGTCAGAAGCACTGAGAACAGACGCAGAGACAACAGAGGACATGCTCACACCACACCACTATGGCAGAAGGTGTGGAAGGATGGGAAAGTACCCGGCCATTGATTGGAAGAAGGGTTACCTTGTCAAATACACGAAGAAGGGAGACCTCAGTGTTTGCAAGAACTGGTGCGGAATCACTCTCCTGTCCACTCAAAGCAGACAAAATAGTAAGCCGCATCATCTGGAAAGGCTTAAGGATGCACTGGATTCAAAACTACGACCGGAACAGGCTGGCTGGCTGGATTCAGGAAGTACAAATCATGTGTGGACCAAATTGCAACGTTCGCATCATCATAGAACAGAGCATAGAATGGCAATCAGCTCTCTACCTCAACTTCATCGACTTTGAGAAGGCCTTTGACAGCGTCGACCGACAAGTAATTTGGCAGTTGCTTCAACACTACGAAATATCGCAAAGCTTTATCAGCCTCATTCAACAGTAGCTATATGAAGACGCCATATGCCAAATAATTCACAATGGGAAGCTCAGTGATGCCTTCCAAGTGAAGTGAAGTGAAGACAGGAGTAAGACTAGACAAGGCTGCCACCTACTATCACCCATGATATTCGTGATTGTGTTGTGGTCGACTGGACTGGTTCATGCAATAAACAGTGAGGAGCTGTGAGAAGATGGGGTGGAGGATACGCTGGGTGTACCGCGGAAACGAACCTAGAAGACTTGGATTTCGCCAACGATGACTTGTGTCTGATGTCGCACAAACTGGAAGATTTACAGGCACCATTCTCCATCAACGGTAGAAACTCAAAGGAAGTAGTCTCCTTCACCTATCTAGGAAGCACTGTTTCAACTACAGGTGGCACAGGGACAGACGAGGATGTCAAAGTCATCCAGGATGGGGAAGACAGCAAGACAGGCGTTCATTAGCCTGAAACCATTGTGGAGATCTTCTGCACTCAGCACTCACCATGTGGAACAAGATGTGGATTTTCGACACCAATGTAGTCAAGTCAGTGCTTCTATGTGATGGTTGAGAGACTTGTCGCGTTACGAAAGGTATTTCCAACAAACTACAGACATTGATCAACAACTGCCACCTACGCTGACTCGTTACTGAAGATCAGATCAGATGGCTAGAAATAATAAGCAACAAGGAACTCTGGAATCGAACTACCCAAGAACCCATCACTGAACAAATATGCAGTGGAAGGAAGTGTAGATGGATTGGGCATACTCTGAGAAGGCCGACTGTGGACATCACACGTCAGGCCAGTTGCTGAAAAGGAACGCTGATGGGAAGCGACGAGTTGGGCGTCTGAGGATAGGGTGACATGGAGGAGATTGTGGGAGGAGGAAATGAGAGTTTGTTGGCTGTTGTGGAGCCAGGTTGAAAAGATTTGAGAGAAGAGAGTGTATGGAGACGTGTTACTGAAGATCTATGTTCCATTAGGAACCCAAGGGACAAATAATAATAATGTATCCGACCACTTCTTTCCTCATCTTTAAAACTAGGTGATTGTTGGATTAGAGTCTAAGATGAGAATGCCAAACATCCTGGGACTTCCATTCAAAGCGTTTAAACGATGTCACGTCTCGTGAATATTTTCAAAGGTTATTACCACGTGTACGATACACTAACGCTCATCTCTCACCTAGTTGATTTTCAGTAGTGAATTGCTAAATAGAGCCCAGTATTCGTCTACGTTTAATTCTTGCTATGTCGACTTGAGAAGTTAAATAGTCTCTGTATAGGATCTTTAGTTCAAGGAGTTTCTGTTCATATTCACTATATAATGGATATAGGAATTGACCATACCAATTTCTAATTTGATCTGTTCGTTTATCGATAACACCAGATGAGCAATTTCGTCATGTCACACACCCTTCGAAGTGTAGTGTTGATCTTTAGATTACTTTTTTTCCTATACAAATTAGCCTGCTTGTGACTTCGTCGTCTCGTATCACCACATATTACTATTTTGCCCATACAAAATTTCCTCAACCGAGTTCTACTGTGACTTAGATTTCCCAGCAACAGTGTTTATTAAGGCAGTTCTGTTTAAACTATTTGAATTTGGGGGTTTGTGGGGATTTAGAGATTTTTCAAGTTGGCATTCATCATGAACTGACATCAGTTGGAAGAACATTGCAAACCTGGGAGTACTGGGCAGCTATTTCTTACAGGACTCCTCATCAGTGCGCACCTATGATCCCGCCAAGCCAGCGATCGAACTCAGAGCTTCCCTGTTTCGTGGCCACCACTTTATCATTGAGCCATTGAGTTGGAATCCAATGGTTCATACATTCGACCCAGTGGCACCATGGTAACGAGCTGACCACGGAACCCGATGGTCCTGGGTTCGGTTCCTGGTGCTGCGGGGTCATGGGTGAGCACTGATGAGGAGTCGTACACTTGAACGAAACAGCTGTCCAGTACTCCCAAGTTTGCAATGTTCTTCCAAATGATGTCAGTCCATGATGAATACTAACTTGAAAAATCTTTAAACTATTTATTTGTTAAGATTTGATGTTCTTCTAGGTGGGAAGTTTGCTTGATTAACGTATAGTTATCAAACTGTACAAGGTGTTCAGTATATTTTCGTTAGTAATGAATCACGCTTATTTTATTTGATTGTTCACAACTAATCATCATTCACATCGTTTAGTCTTACTGAAACGGCTACGGTGTAAAAATGCAATTCTATTTTTCATTGTCTATTTCCCCGTTGTTGCATAGAGAGAGTAGTACCTTCACTTGATTGGTTGGTTCGTTTTGTTTAAATCTACTAAATTGAGGTCGTTTGAATTTTATTGGTTGCCTATCCTATCTACCTCAACGTCTGACATGATTTCTCCTCTTGTCATGCTTTTTTTTAACAGGCCGGTGCTATCGGTGTCATTATAGTTGATAATAAACCAGAGACATCAAGTGAAACTGGCCCACTATTTGCAATGTCTGGAGATACTGATGTAATGAGCAACAAAATTCGTATACCTGTTGTCTTGTTAATGGGTGTAGAACGTGATAAATTATTTAATCTAATGCGTACACACTGGAATCGAACTAGTCAACCAATGACTGTAATGTTAACTAAAGAATATGATCCTGGAGGTGAGTGATTGATTATACATTGTTTTACTTAGTAACTGATAGAATGTTGAACTTTTGTTTCGTCCTACTTACGACTTGTTAGTCGGATGTTCCTTGCGGGACTCGAAGCTAATGTTCGTGGTTCAAATTGATAAAGTGTTGTATCCAGGCGACTAATTCACCATGATCCTCCGTTGTGTAATGAGTATTTATTTGTTTTTACTTTGGTCATATGATTTCATATTGCTTGGTTTGTTGAACTACTCAAAAGGTGGCTTTAGGCTTTATGTCTTACCTTCAGATTTTGTTCCCACCTCATCATCTCACTTGGTTTAGTAGATGTTAAGATAGGAAAAATACCAGGTTTTTTGTTTTTCACATCTCTTCTTCTTCTTCCTCAAGTTTTGAGATTGGTTTGGTCTTGAGGAGATCAATCAATAATCAATCATTATCAACATAGGACCAGGCATTACTATGTAACGGTCCGAGTTGCCACACCTCATCTCACATCAATACATCAAGTAAAAAGGTAGTGAGGTGAAGGATGAAGATAAGTGAATGCAGTCAAAAGAAATATAAAGTATGAGAAGAAAGGAAAGAGGAGTGACAAAATAGTGAGATTCGGTATAGCGTTGTTAAGATGAGGATAATGTATGTATACATCTGTGCCACTTACTTCGGTTCTCAGCCATATCACCTAGAGTCTCCAACCACTAGTTCCTCTTGTCCCGTGGACCCCAACCACCTAGTCTGCATCGCCCTACATGACTTAAACCAACAGTCAGAGACTTCATACATTGGTGCCATGTTTTAGTCTGACCACCTCGAGCCTTTTTCCAGCCTGGACCCACCTCAGCCAACATTGTGTGACGAGGCAATCGGTGACTAGACATACGTAGTACGTGTGCCAACCATCTCAGTCGATGAAGCTTCACAACCTCGTCAACTGACTTACCTCTTCTCCCAAAACTCTACACCTAACTTCTGCATTACTCACGTGGTGTGGTGACACCACGGAATACGGTGGCCTATACTACGAAGGCAACGGTGGTCAAACACCTGAAGCCTTTTTATATCTTCCACTTTGAATGGCCATGTTTCACAGCCATAGTAGCCACAGCCACATAGTAGGCAAGCTTCCGTTTCATATTAACCCAACATTTTACGCTTGTGAAACATTTGTTTTCTCAAGGTCTTATTAAAAAGGTCTGTAGGATAATTGGTAAGACAAAAAGCAGTTACTGTTTTATTATGATTTGTCATGTTATAAATGGGGTTCATGAGTAGAATTACTGCTGATTGTACAGGGTTCTAACATCAGTAAGATGCTCTCCATCGATAACTAGCAGTATCGCGTTGATATTGTCTTTTCTGTTGAAAGTAGGCGGTTAAAAACGGTCATCTGTGGAAATAGTACATTTCTCACCCTGTGGACTTTCAGTGTTGACAGTATAGCTTTTCACGCTGATATCAATGCAAAGTCATTTTTATTTTCTGAATAAACTAAAGGTGAATTAGTGTAAAAGTTCTATAGCATTGCATAACTGTGACAGTATCACGTGACTGCCGGTCACAAAGACTCTAAGGAGGTTTCGCTCTTGTTGGCACTGTTTAAATGAGTCGTATCTGCAAGCATATCAGGGGAGGAGGGGGTCTGATGTTACCTCAATGGTTCAATCATGTACCACTGTGTTATGCAGCTTTTCAGACTCTTAGTTAAGGTTATCCCTTGTCTTATCTGCATCAGGAATGGGAAGTTGAAGGCAGCCAGCTAAAATGGTGCACATATTTTCACGATAGCTGAATGAGATATCGCACTGAAGAACTACTTTCTTGCAGCAACTGTTTTGTGACTAAAGACGCTTCAGATAGACTTAATGGTGGTGTTCGATGGAAAATGATGAATTTCAGGATATTTTCCATTGTGGATTGAGGCCATTTGAAGAACAGTTGATCAGGTGTTCCAATCTTGTTCTAGTGTGCACTGACGAACACGTGAGGGAGAAACCCCAAGACTGCCACATCTTATAGTGGACACCTTTTCTATGCAGCTACTGAATTGTTATAGAATGGTTCACTGTTTTCAATTTCTTCTGATCTGTCCTCACAAACTAACAATCAAGTTTATTTCCAGTCTCGTGAGAGATTCGCCAAACTTTTGATGCCTAGCTGTGGTTTTTGGCATCCACCAAGTCGGGTGTGAGGACATCGGCGAAGCATGATGGTTGACAGAAGGATAGGTAAGTGGACCATTGGATTAGAAAATAGCGGTTAAGTGTTGGTGTACTGCCTCCAAGGCCTGGTTGTTCTGCACTGAATTCTTCTTGACTTTACCTGTATTTACTACTCAGGAGTTTTAAAATAGGAATGGTCACACTATCGTAATCTGACAGAAATAATTTGACCATTGAACTGTATCCTCTCGATGGTCGTATGTACATACTAGAAGTAAAGAGAAACACCTGACCGATGCTCTTCGGTCGTCATCAATTCTCCAAACGATATTATTTTCCTACTGAGACTATCTTTAGAAACAATTGAGATGCATTTGTTTTTTCCAGACTACAGTCTTTCAGCTGCAAGAGAATGAATGAAATTTCTTACTGAAAACAGAAAGATAGGCAGGTAATCAATTCCTAAAAGATAATCGTACCATTGTAAGAAAAAACATTGTTTTCCTGTTAGACAATGGTCCCAGTACCGGGACCTGGTGCTAATGCTTGAATGAATAAGATAGCAAATTGTAATTATTCTTATGCACACATAGATATAGTCAAACTAGGAAATTTACCATCATAAGCGTGTGTAGTATAGAGTTTTATTGTGTTTCAGTGGTACTGACATATGATGACCAGTTAAAAAGGGATTAAGCAATAAAATAACTTGAAAAATTGATTAGATGGAGAGCAGAAAGTGAGGAATTGCAGAGAATTTCCACTCTATAGCTCTTCTGTATAGAAACAAGTCTTTTACTTAACTACTTACTGAATTGTCAGTACGAATCCACTTTGGTTTGTATATATATGTGGTTTATGGTACTCAGAAAATTAACGAAAAGATAATATCCGCATAGGAACAAACAACATTTTGCTTAGTGGTCCAAGTTGCTACAACTTATATGACCACATTAAACGAAAATACACTATGATGAAAGATATATTTGTAGAAAGTCGTGAAAAGAGAACAAGAAGAAATGACAGAATACTGAAGTTTGTTATGATAATTTAGCTGATATTGATTCTAAGCCATATCACCTACAGTCTTCAATCACTGATTTCTGTTATCAAGCGAAATCCGACCGCTAGGTACTGCATTATCCTACATGACACAAACCATCAGTCAATGAATTTATGAACTGATCCCGTGCTTTACTCAGTCCTTTTTGAGCCTTTTGCCAGCCTGAGTGGTGAGGCAGATGGTTACTGGGCGTGTCTTACACATGTCCTAGTCATATGGGTTGATGATGGTTTACAAGCTCATCAACTGAGGTGGTAACACCACAAAACATTACTTATGCTACGAATATAGGGTTAGTTGAATACATGGGGTCTTCACATTTCGTTTGCATTTATGACCATATTTCCTAACCATATTGTAGAACAAAGTTGGCCACTGCACAGTACAATCAACCATAAATGGTGTAAGTTGGCGAAAGTTAATCAAGCCTTATGTATTCGAGTCAGAGATTTCGTTGGTCACTAGTTCATCACGACTCATATGACTCCTCAATTATGCGAAGTAGTCAATGCACCGAACTATTTCATTCACCATCGAAGGTTAGTTTTAGAGCAAAAGTTTGCATTTCAGTGGTGAGTAATACCAGTCGATATATCTAGAATACTGCATCCTGTCAGCGTCTTCATCTAATATGACCATCTCCTAACGTGTATATGCACTTATCACCGAATTCCAGTAAATTTTTTCACTAACCAATTAGTAATCAATTTACCTCTTGATTGTTTCTTTTTCCTTCTTAATAGAATCTTTTAATACGGCAGCGTTGTCGATAAATACGGAAAACAGAGTAAGTTTGTGTAAACTTATGTACTCTTCTTGATTAAAGTGAATAGCAATGTATATGTATATGCAATTAATGAGAAGGAGGTAGTGGACTATCGTTTGCACTCAAAAAAAATTTCACCAAAATAGTTTCAATCTCTCTCTAACTGAATGATCTCTTGTTAGCATCTTCTATTGCTACATCAGTAGTAAGTTAGAGATTTGGAATATATGGCTCATTTGTCTAGGTTTTCGACCTCGAAATCAATAGGTCATAGGTGTTCGAACTTAATCCCATCTTCGTTAAGATTTTGACAACTAGATAGTATTAGTCGCATGTAGCTCATTTTGTCTATCACACATAGTTGGTGAATGCATTCAGATACCCTTTTTTTTTTGTAGCCTAGTTATTAATATGATATGTTAGTGAGTCTCTGTCATCGACTTGATACGTGTTTACTCTGATTTTTATCATTTCCCTTCTTTTACAAGATATTCTTCTTCAAATTCAACAACTTCCAGATTTCAGACTCTTGGAAAGTTAATTTTGGGAGCAAAACTTGACCAATATATAGTATAGTAGATTATAATTCTATTTTAGTCTGTTTATTTAGAATTAGTGATAAGGTGGAAAAAGATTTTAAAAGCTTTCTCACAGTATGTTATCAACAAACAAAGGCATATCAAAATCTCTCTACATTACAAACAATTCTCAAGAAGTTTAGGATGAAAGTGACTAATGGAACATAGGCCTTCAGTAGCACATCTCCAGTGACCTCTGTTCTCTGAGATCTTTTGAACCTGGTTCCACGACAGCCCAGAAGCTTTCATTTCCTCCTCGCACGACCTCCTCCATGTCACCCTCGCCAAGGATGCCCAACTCGTCGCTTCTCATGGGGATTCCACTCGAGCGACTGGCCTGACGCGTGATGTCCCCAGTCGGCCTTCTCAGTGCATGGCCAATCCATCTCCACTTCCTCCTGCATATTTGTTCAGTGATAGGTTCTTGGTTGGTTCGTTCCCAGAGCTCCTTGTTGCTTATTCTTTCTGGCAATCCATCTGATCTTCAGTAGCGAGAGCGTAGGTGGCAGTTGTTGATGAATGTCTGCAGTTTATTGGAAGTGCTTTTCGTAATGCGTCAAGTCTCTGAACCATCACATAGAAGCACTGACTTGACTAGGTTGGTGTTGAAAATCGACATCTTGTCCCACATACTGAGTGCAGCAGATCTCCACACTGGTTTCAGGCTAATGAACGTTTGTCTTGCTTTTCCGATTCTGACTTTGACATCCTCGTGTGTCCCTGTGCCGCCTGTAGTTGAAACAGTGCTTCCTAGATAAGTGAAGGAGGTTACTTCCTTTAAGTTTCTCCCCTTGATGGTAACTGGAGTTTGTTGTTGTTTGGTGGTGGTGGTGCGGTATCTTCATCACTTCTGTCTTCTCTATATTCACTTGAAGTCCCATCTTCGCTGCCTCTTCTGTCAACTTGTTAGTTTTCGACTGTAGATATTCAAGTTTATGTGACATCAGGCACAGGTCATCGTTGGCGAAATCCAGATCTTCTAGGTTCTTTTCCGCAGTCCAGCGTATTCCCCTCTTATCGTTCCCCACTGTTTGCTACATGATCCAGTCGACCACAATCAGGAATATCATAGGGGCTAGTAGGCAACCTTGTTTCCCTCCTGTCTTCACTTCACTTGGAAGGCATCACTGAGCTTCCCATTGTGAATTACTTGGCATGTGGCATCTTCATATAGTTGTTGAATGAGGCGGATAAAGGTTTGCGGTACTCCGTAGTAATGAAGCAGTTTCCAAATTACTTGTCGGTCGACGCTGTCAAAGGCCTTCTCAAAGTCGATGAAGTTGAGGTAGAGGTACAGTTGACTGCCATTCAATACTCAGTTCTATGATGATGCGAAGAGTTGTAATTTGGTCCACACATGATTTGTACTTCCTGAATCCAGCCAGCCAGCCTGTTTCGGTCGTAGTTTTGAATCCAGTGCATCCTTAAGCCTCTCCAAGATGATGCGGGTTACTATTTTCCCTGCATTGAGTGGACAGGAGAGTGATTCCGCACCAGTTCTTGCAAACACTGAGGTCTCCCTTCTTCGGGTGTTTGACAAGGTAACCCTTCTTCCAATCAATGGCCAGGTACCTTCCCTTCCTTTCAGACCTTCTGCAATAGTGGTGTGGTGTGAGCATGTCCTCTGTTGTCTCTGTGTCTGTTCTCAGTGCTTCTGACGGGATTCCATCTGGTTCTGCTGCTTTTTCTCATTTCAGTAGCTTTATCTCGCTCAGGACTTCCATTTTTGTTGGAGGATTTATGTTCAGTTGTAGTTCAGCGGCTGCATGTGGTATTTCTGGACGAAGTGCAGGTGGTGGTCGATTCAGGAGCTTCTTGAAGTGGTCCGCCCATTGTTTCCTCTGTTTCTCTTCTTTTGTAATTAAATTTCCTTCTTCATCTTTTATTGGTTTCATCTGTGTTGGTCTCTTCCCTGATAGCAACCTGGTTATTTGATACAATGTCGTCAGGTCTCTCTTACCTGCAGCCTGTTCTGCTTCACTTGCCAGTGTGTAGTAGAAGTGTCTTTTGTCTTTGCGTGCACTCTTCACTTCTTTGTCCCGTGAAGTGTTTTATACATTGTGCTCAGTTCCTCTTGTCGTTGAGCATCCTTGCACTGGTTTATCTTCTGCTTCACCATCCTCCTCTCCTCTATCAGCTTTCATATATCCATTGAGATCCATTCCTTATCTTCTTTTTTCTTCCTTCCTAATATTGTTGTGCAGGTTTCTTTCCACATAGCCTTCAAAGACTTCCAGTGTTCTTCCACACAGGTTTCTTCAGTGATGTTCCTCGATATCTCCCATTTTGTCTTGATGGCTGCTTTGAAGATCTCCTTTGTAGTTTCATCTTTCAGCTTCCGAGTGTTGTACTAGAACTGTGGTCTATCACCAGCTTCTTTGAAGGCTTTTAACTTGACTTGGAAGGTTCCTTGCACTAGATAGTGGTCTGAGCCTACATCTGCTCCTCTTCTTCACCTTGTGTCAAGTAGACTGCGTCTCCATTTTCTTGAGATTGAGATAAAGTCGATTTAATTTTTAGTGTGTCCATCTGGTGAAATAACAATTCTAAGAAGCAGATTAAAATAGAATACACAGTATTTTCCTTCTCTGTTACAGCACAGATATCCTTGTAGGCAAACTTCATAGTCTTGATTGAATAAACTTCAGTTGTTTGAAGTAGTCGAATCAATAGCCTACAGGATTGAGTATCAATTGTCTATGCATACCAATCATTCCTTGCTCCACATGAACTACTCTATATAATAGTCAAGTGTTTCCCTTCAGTGGATCCTCCAATATAAAAGACGTCACTTTCGGCATTTCATAATGAAAATTTATCAGTCTGTAAGAATTTGTGAATCAAAATTATCTGGTTACTAAAAAAAAAACTGCTGTATAAAATATTCCCCTTTATGACTAGGACCACACACATTGACTCAAGCAATGAGCATAAGAAACCCTGCTTAAGATGCCTAAATAGGATCATGATTAGTTTGACTATGAAGCCTATAAATTCGCTGTAAGACAAATCTGATCGACTTTAGTATCCTGTTGACTCAATTCAAGAAAGTAATTCAATCTTCTAAGTAGCGTACAGTGATTATGAGTTGAAACCACTTGATTGGCTTACCTGTGAACAGGAACTTGACCAAACTTAAACTGATGTATACTGATCAACACCTAACACATACTATCAGAATGACTCAGCACTAGTCCCTCAGATATGGAAAGTTTAACCATCGATAAAAATCATGTACGGACCGACATTGGATAAAGAATATAAAAGCAGTGCACAATTGTTTCCTCGACATTCTACTCCCGTTTTGGTATCGAACCCGGAAAGGTCAATACCCCCGAAAGGAAAATGTTTAGAACTATAAAAGTATCAACAGGCTGTGTAAAACACTGATGTGTGATTGTGAGGAATAAGTTGTGCTTGATGTAATGCCTGATGTAATATTACAATTACACTACTCCGCATTCTCATGTTCCTATACTTACGTTGCACTAATGCAAAGGCTTCTTCAAATCGAATTCCATTTATTATACTATTAATGCTATGTGTAGCGCAAACAACATCGGCAAGAGTATATCTTCACAACTTACCTAGTTGATCCTACAGATCATGAAGTACTACTGCGAAACTATGATTTATGGGGTCAAATAAGTCGAGTATAAAGGCAAATACTCATCTATGATGTTGAATGACGGTCATGCTATATCATGAATTGATATAGGAAATCAGAAGTGACATGCTTGTTGCGAAACCTAATTGGGGTGGTCGATGCAAACAGTTGATTGGTCCTATACTATGACGAAATAGTTTCCAAGTTTCCAGTCTATGATCCACCTTGAAATTAATCAATCCCTATAACCCTCCAAATTGACTTCAAATTTTGAATCTATCCATTTTACGTTGTATTTTTAACTCACCTTTCATATTTTTTTCACTCTTTACAGGCTATTACTCTCAATGATTCAAACAATATTGAAGCCTTAGAAAGTGGATATTCATCTTTTGAATTGATCAGTGATCTATATCAATCACCTTTTCAAATAGATAAAAATTATTTTATTAAAGTCTCAGATATAATTAATTTTTCTATATCACAAGGTGATTCAAAAAATTTTCATCTCAGGTATTCTAATTTATCATCTTCTTCGCCCTCCTCGTCTTCTTCTTCACCAGTGGAGAATAATTGTCAATCGATAAGGGATAATGTAACAACAACTTCCAAGCTTATTACTTCATTATGGCTACTTACATTCACTATGAATGCTCAAGAACAATCTAATTATTTTATACCATTTAAAGATGGTGATGATAAACAGCAGAACAATACAACAATGGCTAGTGATAGCACTATCAAAGGATCACCAAAAGAGATTTCCAACTGGGTAGATTTATTCAAGAGTACATTAAAACAGATTGAAATCAAGTAAGAGCTATTCTAAATTATTTCATTAGTTTGTAAAATAGACATAGATATAAATAACTTTATATATGCATCTAACTAGCAGTCAGAGGTTTCATAAGTTGATGTGGTATTTTAGTCTAATCCATTATCAGCTGTTTTCCAATCTCATCCTACTTCAATTGACTTAGCACACATTTAGTGGTAGATACTGGCTGAGCATATATGATTCACGCTGTTCAACAGGTTGTATCATTATAATGAAAGGAATCCAATAGTGAGATTAGTATTCTGCTCATTTCTTACCGACATTATGTATAACAGAGGTTCTTTAAAAAAATTCCCGACTGATAGCTGCTATCTTGATGTGGTGGTCGGGCTTGCATACCACAATGACTCAACCAGCTATGCTAGTGGAACGCTTCTTCCCTCGAGGTACAGAAAAATCTGTTGGTTAGTGGTAAGATGAAAAACAGTTACCGTTGTGGTGTAAGTTACTATACTATGATGGGGGTCTGAGGGCGAAGTCGTACTGCTGCTAGCTGGATGGGTTGTGACAGCAGTAAGGTGTTTCCCTTGGATGACCAGCAGTGCCATGCTGATGCTGCCTTCTCAGTGGAAGGGGGTGAGGTTAGAAAAGGTCGGCCCCAAAAATGACACACTCCACCATGCCCCACGGTCTGCCGGGCCGGCGGTGTTGGTTCACTTGTCGTTTCTTTTCGACCATCCGGCCCCAAAAATACAAAAGTTCAAAATAATCATACTCAAAAGGCTGGGTGTGACAGGCCTCAAGCAGATGTCCGATGGGCTCTGCGGTCACACAAATCTCTTTCAGATACCTTAAGAAGAAATAGCCTTCCACGGTGTGGGCAGCCGGGAAGTGTCAACCGCCCTCACAACTCTCTCAGCACTCAAGTTTCCTCAGACTGCTATTCACCTCCCCCATCATTACCTTCTAATCTTCCTTCACGTCTCTCAATTAACGATGCTGCATCATCTTCAATTTCTCCTAGCTCTGTAGCCTTCGACAACGATCTGAGTTCACAGAACAGCATCCTTGGTCTCCTTAAACCACGCTCCAAATTACATATTGGAGCCTTGAATGTCCGCACCCTCCGTCAAATTGGTCAACAGGCTTCGTTGGCAAAGACTCTAGCAACTGGGGGCATGGATGTGTGCTGTGTTTGTGAGACACGCATACACGACCCAAGTGCGGTTATTCACCTGACCTCTCCTGACCAATCTGGTGAATCCGCAAAATTCACCCTTCGAGTTTCTGGAGATTCGATAGCTAGCTCTCGTGGTCTTGCAGGTGTAGGCATAGCATTAAGCACTAGGGCAGAAAACTCACTACTAGACTGGATCCCAGTTGATAGTCGCCTCTGCGCTATGCGGCTGAACGGCACAGTGAGAACTAAAAGGAATAGTGAGACTCGCTGTTGTCTCTTTGTAATCTCTGCTTACGCACCCACTGACTGTAGTTCGGATGAAGTGAAGGACGAGTTCTACCATAAACTGTCTAACCTCCTCTCGAAAGCCAAACATTCGGACGTAGTGGTTGTTGCAGGTGACTTCAATGCACAGGTGGGTAGACTGAGTGAGGCAGAAAGGCACTTAGGTGGCACTTTTAGAATCCCTGCTGAACGTACAGATAACGGTGATCTCCAATTACAACTATGCTCAGATAACCGCCTATTTTTAGCCAGCACCAATTTCAGACATAAAGAAAGACTGACGAAATATACCCATTTATTCATTAACAAGAACAAGGCATGTATGTATCAGCGAAGAAATATTTCTTCTCAACGACTGTACAGCTTGATAATGAAGTCGTTGAAAAGAAATATTTCTTCTCTGATACATGCCTTGTTGATGATAAAGAAAGACACTGTCTGACCCATCGCGGGTGTATCGACCAAATATTCACACTGCGTCAGGCTCTGAAACACAGGCACATCTACCGGCGCCCGATACTGGCTGTATTTCTCGACCTGAACGCGGCATTTGACTCCGTTGACCGAGAAGTCTTATGGCAATGTCTGTCACTGAAAGGCGTGCCTAGTAAGTACATCACTTTATTGAAGGCTGTCTACTCGAATACTTGTGGGCATGTTAGAGCCTATGGTGAGATGTCAGGTGGGCTGCGCTCATCGAATAGTGTCCGTCAAAGGTGCCCACTCTCTCCATTCTTATTCAGTTTCATTATAGACATACTTTTGGAGGTTTCCCTCTTGTCACCTAATTACACAGACGTTGACCTAACTGCTGGAGAATTTTCGTTAGATCTAGAATATGCAGATGACATAGTCCTGTTAGGTGAAGACGCTGACTGATGAGATGCAGAGTCTTCTGAACACTTTGAGTGGTAATTTGAGAATGTTTGGGATGCGGTTCTCACCACACAAATGCAAATTTTTGCTCTAGGATTGGTCTGCAGCGATACCACAGCTAACAATAGAGAGTGAGTGTCGTGGTTGAGTGTGTTGACCACTTCACTTAACTGGGAAGTAGGATCAACCCTGGTGTGTTGGTCAGTTGCCGATTAAATCTGTGCACGGATACAAAAGGCTCGATTGGCTTTTGCCAATTTGCGCCACCTATGGTGCCGCTGTGATATCCGTTTGTCTATTAAGGGTCACGTGTACTGCACAGCAGTCTGGTCTGTTCTACTGTATGGCTGTGAAATATGGTCATTGAAGGTGGAAGACATGATAAGGGTCCAGATGTTTGACCACCGTTGCCCTCGTAGGCTGTATAGGCCGTATTCCGTGGTGTCACCACACCACATGAGTAATCCAGAAGTCAAGTATTGGGTTTTAGGGAATAGAGGTAAATCAGTAGACGAGTTTATGAACCTTCATCGATTGAGATGGTTGGGACACGCACTACTTATGCCCAGTCACCGATTACCTCGTCACACAATGTTGGCCGAAGTAGGTCGAGGCTGGAAAAAGGTTTCAGGTGGCCAGACTAAAACATGGCACCAGTGTATGCAGTCTCTGAGTGTTGGTTTGAGCCATGTGGGACGATGCAGACTAGGTGGTTGGTGTCAGCTTGGCAAGAAGAACAAGTGGTTGGAGACCAGGTCATACACTGACTACTCCTTCGGTTCCTAAATCTAGTCCCAAGGTTCGCAAATCTGCCAATCTTGTAAAAGTATTTTACACTTTAATGATGCAAAACTCATACCGTACTTACGGACATTAATCGCCAACTGTTTAAATGTGACCTGAGCAGCTTGTGTATTATCGCACAGTAAGACGATATCGTCCGCATATTCAAGGTTGAATAATAGCCTTTCTCCGGATTGCAGGTCTACATCACTATCACGCACTTCCTTCAGAGCTGTCTCAAGGATGTCATCGATGGCAAAGTTAAAGAGGAATAAGGAAATCGGCAACCCTACTTAACCCCACTGCTGGTTCTGGAACAATGAAGACAGGTTGTTGTATGCCCCCACTCTACCTGAGGTGTTATTATATGGGGATTTCGAATGTTAAGAAATTTCTCAGGCACACCACTCTCCAACAGACAGTTTTAGAGTACAGCTCTGTCCAACGAATCGAAGGCAACCCTAATGCGAAGATACATAGCGATTGTTAGTCTGCAATACATGTTGCGATGTTCAAGCATCTAGCGGAGGGCTAACACATGATCACTGCATGCATGGCCTGGACGAGACCTGGCCTGCTCCTTGGGAATCATTTTCTCATGCGTTTTGCAGTCTGCGAAGTATGCTAGCAGCCAATGTTTTCGACGCTTCTGGTAACAGACTAATACCCGATGATTGTCACGTACATTACGTGAACCTTTCTTAAAGATGGCACAACAATGGTTTCATCCCAGATTGATGGAACACTTTCAGTCTGCCATACCTTCTCAAATAGTCTAGTCAATTCCTTGACTAGAGTCGTTCCTCCACCCTTGTAGACTAACTTTTCGGATGTGGTTTGAACAGTTTAATTTGTCGAATTAGCCGTCTATCTGGCTACGCAGTCAATGAAGCCAACATAGTGATAATAACTATTCAAATTTTCCTGTACTATGAGGTGATAAATGTTACCATCTATTTTGATCGTGATTGTATCAACCTGTTCACAATTTTTATTATTATTTGTCCCTTCGGTTCTTAATGGAACATAGACCTTCAGTAGCACACCTCCAATGTGCTCTCTTCTCTGAAATCTTTTCAACCTGGCTCCACCACAGCCAACAACCTCTCATTTCCTCCTCCCACAATCTCCTCCATGTCACCCTATCCTCAGACGCCAAACTCGTCACTTCCCATCTGACTTCCACTCGAACGACTCGCCTGACAAGTGATGTCCACAGTCGGCCTTCTCACACTGTATACTCAATCCATCTACACTTCCTTCCAATGCATATTTCTTCAGTGATAGGTTCTTGCTTCGTTGGTTCGTTATCAGCCATCCAGTCAGCCAGAGTTCCTCCTTGCTTATTCTCATTATTCTGGCCACCTGATCTGATCTTCAGTAACGAGCCAGTGTAGGTGACAGTTGTTGATCAATGTCTGTAGTTTGTTTGAAATACCTTTAGTAACGCGCCAAGTCTCTCAACCATCACATAGAAGCAATGACTTGACTACATTGGTGTTGAAAATCCACATCTTGTTCCACATGGTGAGTGCTGAGTGCAGAAGATTTCCACACTGGTTTCAGGCTAATGAACACCTGTCTTGCTGTCTTTCCGATCCTGACTGACTTTTACATCCTCGTGTGTCCTTTTGCCACCTGTAGTTGAAACAGTGCTTCCTAGATAGGTGTAGGTGAAGGAGGCTACTTCCTTTAAGTTTCTACCGTTTATGGGGATTAGAGTTTGTTGTTGCTGGTTTGGTATCTTCATCACCTCTGTCTCCTCTATATTCACTTGAAGTTCCGTCTTCGCTACCCTGCCCTGCCTCTTCTCTCAACTTCTAACTTTTCGCCTGTACATCTTCAAGTTTGTGCGACATGAGATACAAGTCATCGTTGGTGAAATGCAAGTCTTCTAGGTTCTTTTCCCCGGTACAGTCAGCGTATCCCCCACCCCATCTTCTCACAGATCCTCACTGTTTCTTGCATGATCCAGTCCAGTCGATCACAACACAATTAGGAATATCATGCGTGATAGTAGGTGGCAGCCTTGTCTAGTCTTACTCCTGTCTTCACTTCACTTCACTTGGAAGGCATCACTGAGCTTCCCATTTTGAATTACTTGGCATGTGGCGTCTTCATTCACAATTTTGGCTGTATCATATTTTGTTACATCACTTTGGTAGCATATTTTTACATTTGCGATGTTGAACAAATTGTTTTGATCTGATAGTGATGTGTTGATATTGTTTGCTAGAGGTGAGGACTGTCTCATAGGTCAAGTAACACAAAACTGACATTATGTATTCTAATGTTGAACACTATCTCTACTACACTTTCAACAATAATCTTCCAACGTTATGTGTCTACGTGTGTGTGTGTGTGTGTACACGCGCGTACGCGCCTTGTTTAACTGTACATTGTTATTTTTTTTATTGCTTTCTTTTAGCAATGAATGTCATCATTTAGTGTTGCTGTTGTTCAAATCGCATTACATAAAGTCTGTCCAGTTGATTCACCTTATCATACAAATAAAACAATTCATATATCAACTGAATATTATCAAATAGTGAATAAGTGTTTAATGGAGATACTACATCTCTCCACTGTCTTACATCATCAGATAAGACAACAACATCAGTTGAATAAACATGGAATAGATCATTCGAACGTTGATAAAATTGTGATCACCTTACAATTGGGCTTTCAATCGATTCATTGTAACTCATCTTCTACTACTACTGCTACTACTACTACACCATCGTATGTATCAACCGATAATGGAGGAGACAATTCACCTAAAGCGAAATGCCTTTCATCATATGGAGATGAATTGTAGAATACTGTTACCACACTTCTCTCTGTCTCTCTCTCTCTCTTCGTCTGTTTATTGAAAAAAAAAGAAAAGAAAAAGAGTAACATCGACAACTAATGAGAGTTCAGATATGAACTTCTGTGTTACTGCTGGTAACTTTCATAATGATCATTTTCATAATAATAATAATAGTAATTATTATTATTATTACTATCAAGCATAGTTTATATCGTTTGTATTATTTGTATCTTTTTAAGTTATGATAATGTTGGTTTAGGCAATTAATTGTCTTCTCCTCAATAAGTTATACCTTCGAATCCTATCCACACCAATACCAACTGTAGAAATATGCACTCGATTACATTTTCAAGTGTTTCTAATCTCATTACTAAATGCATTGATACAATTATTTATATTTACCGGTTGATATAGTTACAGGTATGCATAGAGATTGGTTACGGGATATGTTACAGCAGTCAGTAATCACCTGGCTCATATTCCATACACTTGGATAGATAGTATACAATTTGAATGTGTTCATCTATCTCAGTTGGAAGTTGAATGCTTAGATGAGTAAATCATTAGTCTCATTATACTATTTCCGCTTTTATTTAATCATTGATTATAATGGTATTGTTCACAGTGAAAAAGAGATAGTATATCAGTTCCATGATATCATTCAATCTTTATTATGAGTTTGAATCAGGGTAAACGACAAGATGAAATAGTTAGTCGATTAGAATAAGGTAGAATTCAGTGTTGATGAAGAAGGCAACTAGCAGACTAGAAATGGATTAACTACACACCTAGTACATTATTTAACAAGATACTAGTTCTTGATATTTTCAAATAAAAACTCCTTTATTAAGACACATGGTTAAAAATCTATATACCATCAATTAGTATTATGTTGCAAATGGTCAATGTTGTTTACCTATAGAATGAAGTATTTCTTGTGTCTATGATCAACCATATGATCATGTTTATCAGCTTAAACAAATTCATCACTAATCTAATGATCTTGTTTTGTTTTTCACATTGAGCAATCAATCAGAATTATACTTGATTTATTCTAATACTGTTAACCTCATGGTGATACGTTTTTATCTTATTAGTAGACCGTCTACAAGAAAACGGATAGATACAATAACAATACAATAACTAACGAAGCAAGAACCTATCACTGAACAAATATGCATTGGAAGGAAGTGTAGATGTATTGGGTATACACTGAGAAGACCGACTGTGGACATCACGCGTCAGGCGAGTTGTTCGAGTGGAAGTCAGATGGGAAGTGACGACTTGGGCGTCGGAGGTGAGGTTGACATGGAGGAGATTGTGGGAGGAGGAAATGAGAGTTTGTTGGCTGTGGTGGAGCCAGGTTGAAAAGATTTGAGAGAAGAGAGTGTAATGGAGACGTGTTACTGAAGGTCTATGTTCCATTAGGAATCCAAGGGACAAATAATAATAATAACGGTTAACACAACACTAACTAATTAACGAATTCATAGTGCAGACATTAACGGTGTTACCAAGTCAAATGAAAAGTCACCACGATTTCTTTCTGAACATGAAACGTTGGTCTACAAACCAGAATTGCATAGGTTTCTGTGATAGGAAGTAGTTTCTTAATCTGTACGTTTGCTGACCACTCGATAGGTTTAATATCATGCCTGTAATTCAGTAGGAGTTTGGTCATATAGCCGCTTTAAATTTGGGTCTATCTAATGGTTACTGGATCTCCTCAACATAATCCGAAGTGTTTGATGCGAGAAGAATAATTCTAGCCGGCTCCAACCACGATTGAAAGTGAAAGCAATCTAAACTTAGAGTGGCGAACACGAGAGAGATGGAGAAAGAATTAGCGTTGAGTTTAACCCAGCAATGTTCGTCAAAACACTTTGAAGTCGGAATGGTAGGTGTTGGTTCTCGAAGTCAAGGTTTTTCTGCTAGGTGAAGATACTGAAAAACTGCAGAGTCTTATGAATGTGTTGAGCAGGAATTCGAGTATTTTTGGTATTCATTTTGTACCTGTCAAACGTAAGATGACGCTTTAGAATTGGTCTGAAACTACTTCTAGTTTAAGGATAGAGAGTGTGTCAACCACTTTACTTACTTTGGGAGTGGTATCAATCCGAATGGACTAGTTTCTGACGGAGTCTCAGCCTGCATAGAGAACGGCTATTTTGCATTTGTCAACTTGCGTCACCAAAACTCGGAGGCTTCATGCAGGGGTGTCAGTTATTCCTTTGACCATCCTGAACCCCCTTCCAACCTAATCCCACTTCTTCCAGCACTGCACGTCACGGTAAGCTGTGCCTGGTCATGCATAGTACATCTACAAGCCATCTTGGTCGCTGAAGGTTCACAATCTGACCAACTTACTTGTCTATTACTCTTCACCTGACCTCGATTTTGCTAACATGGTGATTCCACGGTAAGCAAGCAATACCACGAGGACGCCTGTGTTCAAACACTCGTATTCTCTTCATATCTGCTAATGGTCATGTTACAGCCGTATAACAGGACGTAGTGGACTGCAGTACAGTATACTCATGCCTTCATAAATAGTCTGATATCTCACTAGTCGGTACCAGCGATGACGCAAGTTGCTGAGTGGCAACAGGTCTTCTCTATCCGAGCTGATATGAGGTAGGCAGCTAGCTGGTTCGCTGATGCAACTCGCCAAGTAATTGTACTGGTCAATGCACGATATTTTCACACAAAAGAAGCTTGCACACATTTTACTCTAACCTAACTACTACGGCAGAAAAAGGTTGACAACGATATCTTTTTTTAACACAGACTTGGCTTAAGTTGCTTGATGGTTTTTTACTTCGTCAAAACGTAATAGGCGTGGGTTCTTTATCTCTTCATGTAACTTACGGCAGTCAGATAGTTTGCTGAAGAGTCACTGATGAAATGCAGTGTGAGAAAGTTATCTGCATAATCTTCGCCTTTCTAAGTCACCATCAACAAAACTTGGAAAAGTTAGTAGTCAAATCGACTAAAATGTAACCGAACCCTTGTCCTGGGAAGGTAAATACTATTCGCATTTAAAGACGCCTAGAAATACGTAAGGTGTGTGTGTCCCTTGTGCAGAGGAAAATTGCGACAAAAAAATGTGCGTCAAGCTCAGCGTGCTGGTGCATATACACACGCCTATTGGTGAGAGACAGTTAGCTCACAGCTCTCTTCACAGAATAAGAAACTGAATACATTCATCATGTACATGTGGACTGCAACTCTTTAAGATCAGGAGGAGAAGCTTATACATAGATAAAGGAATCCAGCATTTTCTTTTCCTCCTCTCATCCACAATTCTCACTTTATGACTTGGATTGGGTTAGCTCTTCAGTAATCCTGCTTAAGACCATCTGTGGTAGACAGTTCACTATGAACTGTAGACTGTCAGGAAGACAAGTATGCTTTGCGCACTATTTTTGTCGAATAAGTAGAATGAAATGGTTTAATCCTTTTCTCGGCAATCTCACCAAGATTATATTCTTTCCATGGACCTAGCCATTTGATGACTGAAGATGAAGTGGGCGCCTGGTCCGTGGCAGCCTACGAAACGATGTCCTCTCAGTTACTAACCGGATACTCCACCAACTAAACTACATGATTTAGCTCCTGGTTACTTTTCAATTCGCTTTCAGTTGCTGAGTATTTTAACTTTCTGTGATGTGAATAACTGATGCGTGACTGTCCACTCATTGTCATTATACTAGCGCTGCACTCAAGTCTTCTTTCTCTTAACGCACACTAATTGTTCCAGCCTACACACACACAACTTCGAGTTGAACACTGAACAGACAGAAACATCAACAGGGCAATGGTCTCTTTGTAAAGCGTTGGAAACCTTCCACATGGATGAGCTATTATATATACCACATGAGTGTTTTGATGTAATATGGAGAGATAGCATCTATCATCACTGTTGAACGAGGTTAACGTCAAACTGTGACGAGTTGCTTTTAGGAATAAAGTAGTCACATGAGTTTCTTTCTCGGTGGCTACAGTAGTTACACCTAACTGGTCAAAACTTTTCATCATGAAACATTCCTTGATTGTTGCTCCTTAAGGGCGTCCACTCTCTCCGTTCCTATTCAGATTTACCAAACACGCACTTATGCAGGGTTTCATCTCATCGTCTGATTTTACAAGGCTGATGTTACCATGGGAGGATCATTAGTAGATCTATAGTTATGAAATGACGCGGTCCTGTTATATGAAGACAGTCTCCTGGACACCTTGAGTCGCGAAATGCTAATGTTTGGGAATGCGTATCTAACCATCGAAATTCAAATCGTTGGTCGTGGACTTGCATGTGTTGAGACTCCATCTGAGAATAGTGAATGAAGTGGTTGAGCAAGTCCCTTACCTGGGAGATTGGACCAGCGCTGATAGGTGAGTGACCAATTAAATCCGTCTCTACTTGGATACAAAAGTCTCGCTTACATTTCACCAACCTGTACAGTTTTGGTGCCACCATAATATCCAATTTCGTAATACTGGGGGATTATATTGCACTGTAGTTCAATCTCTTCTACTATGCGGCTGTGAAACATGGCTATCCAAGGTAGTGGACGTGTGAAGGCTTCATGTGTTCGTTCAGTATTGTTTCTGTACCGTAGGGAGTGATTCGTGGTGTCACCACATCAGTAACGTGTTGGTCAGACGTATAGGTTTGGGTAGAAGAAATAAGTCCGTCGGTGATTTTATAAACCATCATCCACTAGCATACGTTGCTCATGCATAGTCACTGTGTGTCGCATCGCATGATTTTAGCTGGTAAAAAAGGGTTAGAATAGGCTATGGTAAAACGTGACATCAATCCATGAAGTCATTATTGACAGTTTCAACAAAGATACGACTGAGGCTACAGAAAAGCAGATTACAAGGAAGATGCGTGAACTCCTGGAAAATAATTTGATTGAAAACTCGATTTATAATAAACTAAATCTATGAGGTTCTCGCCTGCATATTTATATGACTTGCCAAAGTAACCTAGTGTCCCGATGAGACCTATATTATCTCTGGTAAACTCACCCTTTCATAAACTGGGTTGTTTGTTAGTTAACAGAGCAGTTGAAACCAATTCGTGACTAGTTTGGAATCTACAGTTTAAGAAACATCATTGTATTTGCTTGAAAACGAGAAGGGTTAAATATTCATGATAAATTCATCGTATCATTTGATGTATCTTCGCTATCTACAAGAATACCCTCAGACTTTTGATCTTCTACCTCTACGCAAAGAAGAATTCAAGCATCTTTTACTCGTGTACACTAAGAATGTACAGTTTAAATTCAGCAACGTTATTTATCGCCAGATTGATGGAGTTACGAGCAACAGTCAACTGGGTCCCATACTAA